TACATGTTCATTAAAAGTGAAACATCATCCAGGGGGATGATTTAAATCAAATGAGTTAAACCATTCAAAGTGTCTGTTAACTTGCAGACTGTCACAAGTTTCCAGCGTGCTGCTGCAGCGATCCTCAAATTGACATTATATGTCATATAACACCATCAGTTTTGTTTTTTGATCCAGTCAGCACAAGTTCATGTATTTTGAAGTTTGTGTTCGTGTACGTGTTTTAGCCGAGCTACTAGTCTTTGGCAGGATCCTTGTAGGCCTGTGTGACATTTCATTAAAAACCTTTTAAAGCAAAAAAGTGACAATTTTTGTTTTGTGAAGGCGAGTGAGTGGAATTTCTTAAGATCCCACCCTCCACTCAGAGTGAGCATATACATTGCTCTGTCAGCTCCTCTCCACAAAGGGATGTTAAGAATCATTCAAATGCATTTTACGTATACTGTATAGCTTAAGTTCTTCATTTTTCTTATGCACAACTATGCTCCAGTACATGATAAAACCTGCCCCCTGCAGTGTGCTGCCAAAATAAGTTTATAGAATAAAGATGATCTGTACGGCCATATGACCAGCTAAGGTAAATTTAGTTACTGCTCATCACATCCATTTGAGCATGGGCAGTAATGGCTTTGCCTTCAGGGTCTTGGGTTTGATGAAGATGAAGTAAAAGACTGACTATCATTAAACTTCTACTGTACATTGATGTTTAATTAGCGATGCCTTACTAGCCAGATACTATTGTGAAACTTAGAACAGTTTTAAGTATAGTTTTTTTTTTTTCAGGTACGTGAGATTTATTTTGGCTCACATGCAATACAGTGCTTAATGAATCTACAGTCGGCTGTTTAAAGAATGTAAAAAGATAAGTAAATTAAAATGTTAAATGACCGTTAACACTATACAAAAGGTAAGTTTGCATGCCATGGAACATTCAATAGCTCCCCCAGTACTGCTTGTGAGCCACTCAGGCCACAGACTGAATCACTTGCTGTGATTTAAACTGAACAGCGTGAGTTGGAAATGTAGCAATAACAAGATGGGCAAAATGACCTGTATATTAAAGGAACTATGAGGTTAAAAGATTCTTGACATAAAAAGGTTGAGTAACACTGATGTAATACATGAATAAGTCCTACAGTTTTAAATAATGAGGACTTAGTCGTGTATTATTTGCAGTGAAAGTAATAAAATCCATGATGAGCTCTGGTGGTATCAAATACCAAAACATATAAGTTTTTTACTTAGTAAAAAATAAATAAACTTATAAGGCTTATAAGGAACTTGTAAGGTCTTGTAATCCTCTCCTGTATTTTCAGACACAAAGCACATGAGGTGTTGTAGGTCATTATAGGCATTTTGGGTGCTTCATTAATTTTATATAACAGTCCTTTGGGTTACAGGAAGGTCTTGGAATAATGATGTGGGTGTGGCTTCCCAGCATGAAGATATTCGTCAAAATTTCAATTCAACTTTTACGTTATGATCCTTCATTCATGTTTTTTATGTCTTAGTTCTCCTGAAATTTGAATTCAAGGATTTGAAATGAACATGGTCGTTAACTGGTTTATAAATTCAAAGAACGATATGTGAGGTCATTGAATGTTTTAGAACCCTTAATTCTCCAAGTTAGCAGAACTGGAAAATAATGGAAATAATGTTGGAGATAAAATTACACAATTTTGGGGGGGAATTGGAGAATAACAGGAATTTATAGAAATTAATCACAATGTACTTATTAATTTACCACAGCATTGTTAATGTTAATATTTAAATACCATGTAACTTAATTTTTAACAGAACAGACTTGCAATTGTTCTATGCATGTAATTTTCTATTATTTTTCCATGGTGGTTTATATTTTATCACACATACCTTGTATGTATGTTTATGTAAATGCATGTGTGAACACAGCAGCACGAGAGATTTTTTTAACATTTTAAAATTATCTGCGTCTATACAGACAATGACCCATGTGCAGTTCTTCAAACCTGGAGGTATTATCTGAGGCTATAATATTCCCTGTTTATTCACGAGTTAATCATTTTAGTGGTAAAAAGTGAGATAATATGACTTGCTTTAGGATCCATGGAGTCATGGACATAAATGGGTGTGATTCAATCATTTTAGCCCTTTTGCTGAAGGAGTATTTGTGTCTGGGTTACTTAGGAACCTTAATACTACTGCATTCCTGCCGCAGTGTGGGGAACCTTCAGAAAGCTAGAGTAGCTTGGAATGGAACATGAAGCTGCTGAAACTCCATTTAGTGCTGTCTAAAGCTTTGAAATGACATGCTGTACTTTCTCTTGAAACCGTCTGTGCAAGATGTCTGGCCCCTAACTTGTCTGTAAAATCTAGTTCTTAGTATGTAGTTTTGTAAATGACGATATATGTAATCCCATGAAGTGTATTTAAAAAACGGTTTTGAAAAGCATCACCTGCAAGTGTGGATGTCTACATTTCTGTGGAACTATGATGAAATATGTAAAATTTTCATGTAAATTATATATATATATGTAACAAATCAAAAACCCTATTGTACTCTTCCATGCAACTGGTCAATTAATCAATAAAGTTGAAATACTGTGATGTGTGGTGTTCTCTCCGTCCATTTACCACCATTTTATAATTACTATACTAACGTCAAAAGTTAAATGCCTACCTCAAAGACTCCTTAACCATTCAAAAAATCATATCTAAAATGGGTCACTGCAACATGTGAGCATGCAACACATGCAGATGCTGAAATACATCTGCCATTATTGATCCATTAAAAGTCTTGACAGTTCCCTGTTAATTTCTTTGCATTGATTCTCTTTCTTGTTATAAAATGTTCTCAACAGCAATTGCAGTCCACCTTTACCACCTACTGGCACTTACTGGCACTTAAATGGACCTAAGGATGAACCTAGGACACAGAGATAACATGCCCCCCCTGAATCTGATCATAAGTGTACTTATTTATTTTTATAAGAATTATAGGCAAGTTGAAAATGATTGTTCTATGCTGTCTTTAAAGGTCATGTATTATGCAATTAAAATCGGAACTGATCAGGGCCCACTTCTGCCTCGAATTGTTTTATTGTACAGGAAAAATCTCATAACTGGAACATTGAGAGAATGTAATTGCATGTGACATTCAAATCTACCCAAGGGGTATCACAGGAACACCGTGGAGCTTTGCTGTAGAGAATATTTTGAATTGATCTTGTATGAGAAGAGTATTAAACTAGAAAATTTGGTCTCGGCGACAAAATGTCTTAAACATCGGCGTTTATGTGTTTGCAAATTACGACATTTTGCCCTTTTTACAACGCTATACGTGCTTATACATCGGCAATATTGTAATTTTCACTGCTTTATTACAAACCATTAAAAAGTGAATATAAATATTTAATATTAATATAAAATATTAACTAGACAACGATAACAAATAAAAACAATAGAATACAGGCCATATTTAATACCTTTCGTACTAATGACGTAATACGCATATGACATCAAAACTGTGAGACGCCTGACGTAAGGTTGTAGTCAAGTTGTAGTCCGCGGGGCGCCTGCGCAGTGAGGTCAGCGCGCCGTTAGGACTGGTATTTGAAAAGGAGAGCCGCCTGACAGCAGAGAGCTGAAATTGTTGAGGATCTGCGGATTCAGACTTTATCTGAAAATTAAAATATAAAGCTTTATTAGCCCGGAAGGTAGGGGTACTCAAAGTTTTAAGTTCTTTTTTTATACGTTTGGCTTTTAATTTCTCTCAAATATTTTTGGCGTAACATTCAAGGCCTTTCTTTTTAAGTGTATCGCTTATTAGAGTCATTACCCTTTGTAACAGGTTTAAATGAAAGATTACCAGTCTGATGAATGGTTTTGATGTCCATAGATAGTAATAGAGTATTTTATAATAGTTTTCTTTTGGGAGTCCGCTGGCTACATGTGAAGTATTGATGTATCCTAACTAATGCGGCTTGTGAACTTGACTAAGTGGCTTAGGGGACTTTGCTAGGTGCAGATACGTTTTATTCGATTAGGTTATTCCACTAAATCGCCGTGTGTGCACAGAAAAAGAAAGTGTAGCGACTGGAGTAAATGGCACACGATTGCAGGAGCTGCACTGTTTCTGCACAACTTGCTGAGCGTGACTGGGGGTTCCTGCATGTCATCCCAGAGGTGTGAGCATAGGCTTTCTGTGCCTAAGTTTAACAGCCCGCTGTCATGTTTTGTTGGAGAGGAATAGAAAACTTTATACTTTGAGTTTCTATTCAATCTATTCAATCTATTAATTCTGGTCCTGATGGGATTGCGGTCGTTGTCGTTGTATTTTAATGCCATTCGCGGTGCAGAGTCCCGTTCTGTGTTAGCTGAATGAATTTAATAAAACACCCACTCTTTACACAAGCTAAATAATTGAGAAAGAGCACGGTATCTATGTAGTGGAAACGGAAGTTTTTGCGACTCCGTGGAGAAGCAGACCCTGTGAAATGGGTTTCAATATTGAGCTCGGAAAGGGGCCTTCTCGTTTGTCGGGCCTGGTTCCTGAGCGAGGCCTCGATCTAACTTGTCTTTGCTCATGGTGATTGGCTCAGAGCTGCCCTCTCCCCTAGTGGGCGGTGTTGATTGGTCAAAGAGTGTGCTTATTTAAAATTTAAACCTGCATTCACCAGCAGGTTTGGTTGTGTCGCACTCACGCATACAGTGACCCATGCCGAGTTGAAGGCTGCTATTTGGCTTTCGTAAACATACGCTGGTAACCGAAGGAATTGTTTGTAAAAGAAGTATGTTGTTATTTTCAAGTGCTTGCTCTTTCGGTTAGTCCTGTGTCTGGACCATTTTATTTATCAGCGCTTCACGTAATAGATCACGCTTCTGCGAATCTCAGAAATGGGTGTGATGGTGATTCCGCCTCATGACGTGCCTGATTTTAAAGTGTGGGATGAAATAACGTAAAAATAGAAACGGGGCACTGCTATCTAATCGACGCAGTCGGTTAAAAATCTGGTGATACTAAAATTTCATGCGCTTAACAAACGTTTTAACATCGACCGAAAGGACAAGGATGATTAACAAAACGTTTTCCGCATGAAGGAGCCAGAAAGCTCAAATGAATTTGCTAGATGGTAGGGGAACCACGGTATTTATGGATAATGTCGAGATACAGTGTTTAGTGTTTTCTAACTGGTAACGTTATTTTATTTTATGACTGCTACATTTCAGACAATGCAAACATTTCGTGGATCTTATTAAAACTTGGAACCAAAGCTCGGGAGGGTTTTCTATTCTACGTTTGTGGGCGATTGCTTTTTTACGATGTCCTATTTCTTAGGTAACCATGGAATTAAATGAAGCCAACCTGCAGACGCTCACAGAGTTCTTGAGGAAGACCTTAGACCCTGATCCCACAGTCAGACGTCCAGGTAAAACAAACCTACAGGGCAGTTGTGATCTCCAAAGTTATTTTCCTGACTCTCCCAACCTCAGGCATACTGCTGTTGGCTCAAATTCTGTGTCCTTTCAGCCTTGCCTTGCTCCAGTTTTGTTCTGTAAACTTTTGACAATTTTGATATTTAGTCTTCAAGGAAAATGAAACCTGTATATGAAGGTAAAGGGGTTCTATGCTAAGAAACCAAGGAGTGTTTAGGTTAGTTTGGCAAGAAGGAATAGTGCTGAGCTCTAATATGAGAAAGTGAAGGCCTGCACGAGCACACTAATTCTTCATCTTCTCTGTGCACTTCTGAGTTTAAAAGTCACCTTTTTCCATATTTGCATGACCCTGTGTGTGTGTCACAAGCCCAGGCTTGTACATACTGCATTTATCCTACTGTTCATGGCTTGTTGGATATAGACATTTTTATATTTAAGAATAATTTGAGACCTTAGGATGTGCCTCTTCACGTCTAACAGTTGGCAGGGAATCTAGTGTCGTGGTTTTGTGATAAACCCTTTTTCTTGCTCTTCCTAGCGGAAAAGTTCCTTGAGTCTGTGGAAGGGAACCAGAACTACCCCATTCTGCTCCTCACGCTGCTGGAGAAGTCCCAGGATAATGTCATCCGAGTGTGTGCTGCCGTGACCTTTAAAAACTACATCAAGAGAAACTGGCGCTGTGTGAGTAGACCGTTAGCTTACTGACACTGTTAAGATTTACCTTTGCCATTTTTAATTAGTGGTCTTTAAAAGTGAAATAGCCCTCCTGTTGGAATTACAAGGCTATGTGCTTTTGTATTTTGTGTCCTGTATACACAATTTTGTAAATGATCAAAGACGTACTCATTTGGATGAAAAATCCTGAAAATCCCCCTTTTCTTTCTCCTGTGATGATGAGCATTTCCAGATAATTTTGTTTCTACTTCTGTTTATTTTGCTTTGTCTTTATTCTTGAGACCATCTCATCTCTAGCTGCTGATGAATCACTTCAAATTTCACATGGTGTGGTGGCTCTTAATGTATTTTTAGACACTGAAGAAATCTTCTGTTTAGAAAACGTTTGGAGCTTGGTCGTCCCTGTTTCATATCAAAACTACTGTATTTCCAGTAGTTGTCAGTAGCAAAGGAACCAGTCAAGGTCAAATAAATAAAGAATAGAAAAAAGAAACGTTTTGTATGCTGTGTTATCCAGGTGTGAGCTTGCTCTTAAATGTTTCCAACTCTGGGTTTTACCTGGAGATATTATTCCTGACCTGTGCCCTCTGGAGTATAATTTTGTAGCTGACACTTTGCTCCATTTGTGTAATCATGAAAGCCTAGGTTTTCATTATATTAATATGCAGCCTGGCTTCCTTGCTTGTTGAAGGAAAGTACTTTTAGATCATCTCAAGAAGTTGGTATTCTGCTGATGAAGTGTTTTAAAGGGTTCTATTTTTTTGTAGCTAATCTTGTTTGAATATTTTTAACATAAATGGCAGCACCATTTCCTTTACATTTCAGGTTTATAGTATGTAATGTATTGTATAATAGTGTCTTTTTCAGTAGAGCAGAACATCCTCTACATCTGCTGCCAACTAATAGGACCTTTAAGAATTCATGTGATTGTGTTTCTTTAGACAAATCATTGCCCTCTCATTTTCAGTTTTCAGTTGTTTGCCAAAACAGCATTAGTAAATAATTAGTCTCATTTCAGTGTTGTGTGTTTGATGGGTCTACATTTAAAATTACTGATTCATTTGAGTAAATGCTGTCAGAATCCAGAGTTAATCTAACTTTACAGTAAAGCAGGTCAGTGTATCATAAGTGCTTGTTGAATCTTGTAAAATTCACAGTAATTCTGCTGGTGTTAAAGTTATCTTCCATTTTTTTTGTAACTTGGTTGTCCTCTGATCCTCTCTGGTGATCTACGTATTCAGTTTTTTAAACAGCTATAGTTGCTTCAGATTGAAAGCCCAATCTGTATTGGACGATGAGTCAAACCTGAACTGAAAGTTATATGCATTGCCTTTCTGTGAACATGGGTGGGAATAACAGCAGTTGATGTCTTAAGAAATTAAACAGCTTGCATTGTCAGATAAGATGCGGCGTTACTTCTGGTAATGAATGTTAAAACAGTTTAGAAAGTTCTTGATATTTTAATGCCACTCGTGCAACTGTTTTTGTAGGTTTATGGCATTTAGGACTTTGATCATGTGGATCATTCAGTCCTTCCTGTTCCAAGTTGTTCCATTGGTCCTGTTTTGAACTCCCTTGCATGGTTTCAAAATTACTTGCAAAGCTATATGAGGTGAATGAAATCTGGTGTCGTCCCTCGGTCTTCTGCCCTGATTTTAACTTTCTACAGTATGTTAGTAATATTGCTGAGGTATTCAGAACCTCAGTTTTATTCCCCTAGCACAATTTTGTGTTCAGCTGGACCCACTTGATCACTGATGACCAATTTGCTGATGAATGTCTATCAAATTCAGCAGACTCGGTGAACCACATTTCCTGCTAAACTAGGTTAAACTTAATTTTTGCTCCTCAAAAATGGCTTCATCTTATCCCATAATCATTTTTTTTTCTTTTAGTAAAATCCATAGTAAGTGCTTAAACTGTTGGAAAATGCCTTCACTTTCAAAAATGATATTAAGTTATACTATGCTGTTGTGTTTTCTTACATCAAAACAGTATAAATGTTTTTAATTGGGATGGTCTGTATAGCTGTACAATTATCTTCACTTGTGAAACGTATCTGTAAATCCTCCAAGTTAACTTTTTATTTGGTGGTGAAAAATGTGTAAATCAAATCAGTGTTGTCCTGTAAGTGTCTTTTAATAAACAGCACCCGATGAGCTAAGAGAAGTCAGGAAATTGGACCAGTTAGTCTAATATTTAAGACTATGGGATGAGAACCTACAGACACCAGCTTTCCAGGACTGAAGATGGACCATGTTGCTTGAAGGAAATGCTGACTGGAATGATTTTTAAGGGATTGCTGTCAGAGACCTTGGGATTTGTATTTACGCATGTTTTGTTTTTTTAAGGTGCCATTATTCAGTGTAAGATGTTTTTGTGTTTTTAGGTAGAAGATGAACCCAACAAAATTTCAGATGCAGACCGGACGGCAATTAAAGCAAACATTGTGAATTTGATGCTTAGCAGCCCAGAACAGATTCAGAAACAGGTATGTGTTTTTTTTCCCCCATGAATCAGAGGAAGGTTTTCTACTATGTTGCTGCACTGTCTGCATCCCAGATAAATTCCCGAGCAATACTTTTATTAGCATTGAACCTCTAGGTTGGCTTTTGTGACTTGACTTTCATGTTGAATAAAAGCAAGGAACATCTTCAGTTAAGTCTGATGTTTCAGTCAATTAAGGGCCCAAGAGTGTTTTTGTTTGTCAGCTTTGAGTTGGCAAATGGGTGATGACGAGGTACAGATAATTCTGCAAAGAGGTGTACCAGTACACCTGATAACCAGCTGGGTCAGGGGAAAAGCTTAAAACAAAGTTTCTAAAAATGATAGTTATGTATGCCCCGTGCCTGAATGTGACTGCATAAGTATTTTCTTTTCACATAGCAAATTTAAACAATTCAAAGTTTTAAGTCTTTCATGGGATGATTCATGTGGTGCAAGTGTTGGCCCTCTGTAGCAATCATTCTGATCACAATGCACGCCATGTGCTTGTGGAATACAGGCATTTCTTTGAACAATCTCCAGTATTTACCTTTTTTCCCAGAAAAGAGGATATGAGTATTATTTATGCTGTTTTGATAAAAAATAATAAAGATGTGTGAAAGCTAATGCTTAGTTGGAAGTTTCTGGCAGTTTAATTCTCAAACATAACTAGTACATTTGGCACTTTCTTAATTACCCTCTGCATTGGAATACTCATTTCAAAACCTATAGCTACATACAGCTGGCATGAAGCACTTCAGTCTTTGTTTTGATGTCTATAAACATAAAGTGCAGTGGTGTTTGATAATTGCGAATCATCTCCTTGTAGATATCATGTAATTCTTGCTAAACTGACAACATATGCCAGGCTTTAAACTTGCTGTTCTGATTAATGCTCTGTAATCAGGCATTGAGCGATTACATGAGAAAAGTTGGGCTTCGCAATCAAAGACATGATTTTTATGCAGTAAAGCACAGATTTAATCAACATATGCGCAGTTAATCTGTTTATATTCCAAGAAAACCTTACTAGAGGTCCAGTTGATGTCGTGGCCTGTGATTAGATTTCAGGAGCCAAGCTGGCCTGACCAGTATGCGGATGAGACATTGAGAAAAATCTGATTTCTGCTGCAGTTTATGTTATCACACCTGCTGTCGATGCTTTCGACCACAATATTCAACATAGTTCCCGATTACGGTGACGGGTCATTTGTGCTCTATGGGACTTGTTGTTGAGTATTGTCTTAATTTGCAATTCCTATGTACAGTGTTCTCACTGAATTGTATTAAGATTACCTAAATGATCCCATGTTTGTAAACAATTCAAAATGTGTTAAAACAGCTATTACATTGCTGTTAATACAGGAACTGTATTTGCTGACTTCTAATTAGCTGGCCTGGTGAAGAAAGAAAATACATTATATAACAAACATATGGTTTTGGTAACAGTTCAGAAACTTAACTTTTTATGTGTGACTATCTCTAGATATTCTCTAGTGATTACTCTAATGCTAACGTTTAAGTTCTTTCTGTGTAGCTCAGTGACGCTATCAGCATTATTGGGAGAGAAGACTTTCCTCAGAAGTGGCCTGATCTCCTGACTGAAATGGTCAACCGGTTTCAGAGCGGTGACTTTCACATCATTAACGGAGTCCTGCGGACAGCCCATTCACTTTTCAAAAGGTTTGTAGTATGGACGACGATGTTAGCTTTGTGGAGCCTATGCCTGAGTGAATTTATTATATACTCACGCAATTGCAATCGCCAATCCAAGTGTAGGCTTGCAATATAAGGCCTTTTATTGCATGGTGGAGAATGAGGACCTGCAGACACCCACCCACACTTCAAAGTCAAACTGGTAGGTCAAGTGGTGTCTGAGAAAAGGATTCTGGGGCTAGGAATTACAGCTTTAACACCTTTTCTGTTAATGTGATATGCTGCAGCTCCCAGCATGAGAAATGTGTACTCTTGCCCATTCATGTCTTCTTACCTTTGCTATACTGATAGGCGTTTCGCAATGTGAAGGGCATGTGGAATAAAATTGCAAGAATAATTAAATGCACCTCTGTATAGGTTGAAAGGTGAAAGATGTATGTTGTATCATTTTTTATGCCATCATGGGGGGGGGGAACGAACAAGAATAAGGGGCAAAAGTGACGTTTTTTTTTTCTTTGCAAGAAAGTTGGATTAATTTTTAAACAGATGATCTTCACTTAACCAGTAACCTACATCTTGGCATGGCAACTTTGTTTTTTGCCACTGCAGGACAAGGGGGAGTCTAACATATATTTAACGGCATCCTAATAATATGCTTTTACTTTAACCAAAACTGATTAATGAGATTAAACATCACTTTTTGTATTGGATTTTCCTTTAGGGCTCACGTGTGTGATATGTTTTGGAATTAATTGCTAACTACCAGGCAAAAAACATACGGATTCTAACTTTAATCAGATGTTAACTAGTAGACTAAATTAGTGCAACCTGCAGGCAGCAACTAGATAAGTGTTTCTGATTGGTTAATATGACATTTATTAGAAATTGCACAGTAAATTATGAACACTTATTCAATGTTTTAGAAGTTGAAGAAAAACGTATTGTTCATCACATTCATTCCAAATATAATGATTCATTAGCAGTGCAGTGTATTTTGGTTAACTGTGGTGGTCAGGGTGTTTTTTGGAGAACAGTTGGAGATGTTTCTTCTGCATGCCAGTCATACGATGAGTTACTGAATGCACGTCTCTGCCTTTTGTTTTCCACAGGTATCGGCATGAGTTTAAGTCAAATGAGTTGTGGCTTGAAATTAAACTTGTGCTGGACACTTTTGCACAGCCTTTGACAGAACTTTTCAAGGTAAGTGTTGGTAGTATTTTTAATGGATTATGTACAGAAAACATCATAATCGTAATTTTGGCAACTTTGTTTTTCCTTATCCATTTATTTTCCATAATGAATAACATTACAAATACAAACTTGGAGACTCTAAGATTTCAGCTTAGGGCTAAATGTAAAAAAAAAAGTAACTTTTTAATATTCCAAACAATACCCCCCTTTAAAGTTTTGTTGTACATTTGACAGTTTGAAAAATTAAGGTGTGGTTGATATTAAATTTGGATATAATTTGTTTTAAAATAACCATTCATGGATCCTGTTCTTGTTTTATTAAAGTGATTGGTCAGCTGCAGTTACTGGAGCTGCTATAGTACTGCTATGTAACAAAGTGCAGCAAATTAAATTCTTCTTTCCTTATTAATGCCAATATTTCAGACCTTGCATACAGCAGTATCACCATGCAATTTTTGCCGATCTTCACCAGTAATATGCTACCGTAAATGCTTAACATGCTTGAGAAACACCAGCCTGAAGAACCGGAGGATTCTGATGGAACTTGTCTTTCAGGCCACCATTGAGCTCTGTCAGACTCATGCCAGTGATGTGAATGCCCTGAAGATTCTCTTCTCTTCCCTGACTCTGATCTCCAAGTTGTTTTACAGCTTAAACTTCCAGGTAAGAGTTTATTACGGTTTTTCTCCTCATCTTGGCTCTCCTAACGATTTCTGCAGATTTTTGCATTATTCTTCTCTAAATTAAGAAATCCTCGTTGCCCAAATTGTTAGGAAACCCCAGTACTAGAAGATGCTTTCTGTGGTAGACAATGCATGGCTGCTTTGAAGACCGTGAGGTTTAACGTCACTGGTCAGAAAAATCTCCTGGTATCAATTGTTAAAAAATCAATTCTGCAACTAGAGAAATCGGTATGCACATCACAGCCTTCATTAAAGGTGATCCTGCTACATGAATGGAATGTGACTGGGCAACAGAGCTTTGAGGAATACACACTGCATCCTGTTTGCTCTTGCTTCAATATGGTTTTTGGGGGATTGTTAACCAGAGAGTGTATGACTCTTCATAATTACACTAGTTTTGGTTTTCCATTTAAGCCATATCAGCATTTGAGTGTTTTCTATATTTTAAGTGGCTTTTCACTCATTATATTGTAGGATCTTCCAGAGTTTTTCGAAGACAACATGGAAACATGGATGACAAACTTCCACAATTTACTGACTTTGGATAACAAACTGCTTCAAACTGATGTACGTATACATTTTAACTCATAATTGGAGGTAATCTATAACTTGCTTTTTTAATTTGATGCATTATTTTCTTTTCTGACTTTCACAAGAAAATTACTTTATATATACTGATAATTTGTGAAAGCGCTTTCCTGTCCCACTTACATTCTGCATACCAGTTTAAAATGTATTACTTCATCTCTGCCGACATGTTCTTAAATTGTTAATATTCCTTGGATGCATTGTAAGTGTGCAGTTAGATTTCAAAGGTACTTTGCATTCTGTTGGCTAGAAGTAAGACTGGAGTATAGCAGCTGGTTCTTAATCTTGGCAATGTCATTAATGATGCTGGGATAAACGATGAGGGTAACTGTAGAAAACAGTGTAATCTTTATTACCACATTGAAAGGTTTAAGTTGAAACATGCATCATACCTGCATAACTCCCATCTGATCCCACCTTCTTATAGTTGCAGTTGTTTGTTTTTTTACAGTGTTGCATTTAATAAATATCATGACTTGTCATGAGGTGCATATTTAGGAAATGGGTACAGATATTCTCAAGTTTTACCTACTGCTTGTTTTTTAAATGTTTTAAATGTACTGTGTCCGATGGTTGGCTTATGACATGCATCCTGATCTTGTTTTGTCAGGATGAAGAGGAAGCAGGCCTGCTTGAGCTGTTGAAGTCTCAGATCTGTGATAATGCTGCTCTTTATGCCCAAAAATACGATGAGGAATTCCAGCCCTACCTGCCACGCTTTGTCACAGACATCTGGAACCTGCTGGTCACCACTGGCCAGGAAGTCAAATACGATCTGGTAAAACCAAAGCTTGATTTCTATCTTTATCTATAAAAAATAGACCAATTGGTGTGACCAAATCATAAATTGTAAATTTCCACCAGCAGTAACAATGTTTTATTTGAGGCACTTCAGTGAGGAAGGGTTGCTTTACAGATCTATTGAATAAATCTATTTGTGGTGTCAAACATGCGATATTAGTAGAACAGGCCTAGCTTTAATGTACTAAGACATGGATCTATGCATTTTCACATCTGAAATAGAAAGGAGTAGCACTAGCTTATTTTATTTAACCCTGCTTCCCAAACTGGCATTGCCTGTGCTGGAACATATGTACTACTGTAGATGTTTGATGCAGTCACTTATAATACAAGCTTATTTAGTTTAACATCTACATGTGCACTGTGGAGGCAGAGATTTGGGGTTCTGAAGTGGCCTTTAATTGTTTTCATCTTTTGTTCTTTACTGCTACAAATGAAGGTCTGAAGAATGTAGTTTCTCTAGTATATGCTTGGAATATTAAACAGACTAATAAGCAATGTAACAAATGGTTACAATTATCCAGCACTTGTTTCTGATGACGGGCCTTAAGTACAGAGCCTAAGCAGAAGTTAAATTTGGCTGTTGGTTGAGTAAACTGAAGGCGTTTTGTTTCAAGTTAATGTATCTATAAGAAAATGTGCAAAAACCTGTAGAACCAAATTTGAAAGGGTAAATGAGAAACTTCTAGATTCTGCCCTCTGACAACTGCAAGTCTGTAACAAGAGGTTTTAAGCTTTTTTCCCCACTCTTTCTCCTGGTTTAGTTGGTGAGCAATGCCATTCAGTTCCTGGCGTCAGTCTGTGAGAGACCTCATTATAAGCATTTGTTTGAAGACCAGAACACTCTGACCAGCATTTGTGAAAAGGTTATTGTGCCCAACATGGAATTCAGAAGTAAGTTGAGTCATTTATTGGCAGTATTTTTTTTTAGTGCGTTTGAAGATGTTGGTTGAAAAGTAATGAAAACGCACTTCAGAAAAGCTTTTGAAAAATCGTGTCCTCACCCTAAACAAAAACCAATAGATGTGGTTTGATTTTCCAAAAAAAACAATTTCTTGGTCAACTGAGCTAGCATGAGCGAAAGAGAAGCTACTTTTTACTGAGGTTTTCAGATTTGAGAATACAATTTTCTTGCCTGTTAGGCTTCAGTCCCCATCTTCCATGATAAAGATTAGTTGATATTTACATTTCCTACGATCTGAAGTAAATGGGTTATTTTTTACTGTTGTATAACCCCTGATAGCTCCAGCACAAATTAATGTTTGTTCCAGTGACCAAGTCATCGATGTGCCACGAACTCGGGCCCAAAGGAAAGTGTCAATTTAAGGGCTCTGTCACAAGAGCATTTCGAGACACGGAGTGCATAGAAGCAGGACTATGATTCACACAGCCCTTGTTTAAACTGAAGACTGTTACTGGTGCTGGTGTTTAATTCATTTGGTGTCAATCCTTTTCCAGCTGCTGACGAGGAGGCTTTTGAGGACAATTCTGAGGAGTACATAAGGAGAGATCTGGAGGGATCAGGTAGTGCATCTCTTCACTGCACCGGTTCCTTACTTTGAGTTGCCTTTCTTAGAGATGCCTTTTACTTCGACATGCAAGTGATTAAAAATGTTAGTTTTGTCTGATTGACAATGATGGTGTAAAGGTACCGTATACATTTCCTAATCTCCGTTTGGTTTCTTTCCTTTCACTTTTTATTTTTGTTTCTTAAAGTTCTGTCCAAACTCCCAAACCTATTTTCATAATTCAGAATTCAGACTAACGTTTCTAAGATTGTGCTCCTTCTTCAGATTTTATCAGTCACGCTGATATTTTTATTTAAATGTATTTTAATATAAAGTATTGTTTGTGCTTCTTTAGCTGAAAAGATCAGATGGGTAGGTGACTCACAGTAACAGGTCTAGAATGTGGACTGGTTTTCCTCTAGGTCAGAGTGTAGAGAACTTACCAGACCCAATGTTAAGGGAAACTGAGGCTGAGTTCCATTTAAAACTAAATAAAGGGATCAGTGATGTGTTTTTCTTTGTCATATGAATTTAAGAGGTGCTAAATTGGATGCAGTTGTGTGTGACCTATTCAGTAAACCATATCTGCTTCCTTTCAGACATTGACACGAGGCGTAGGGCAGCCTGTGACCTAGTGAGGGGTCTCTGCAAGTTCTTTGAAGGGCCAGTGACGGCCATCTTTTCTGGCTATGTGAACTCCATGCTCACCGAGTACGCCAAGAACCCTCGTGTGAACTGGAAGCACAAAGATGCCGCTATTTACCTGGTCACCTCCCTGGCCTCCAAAGCACAGACGCAGAAGGTACCGTGTCACCTGACTGTCGGGAACTCTTTTGACTTCTAAGACGGTGTAAAAATGAAATTCCCTGCAAATGAGCCAAGTTTGAGTGTGAGGGTTAATGCCAATAATTAAACTTTTTGCCTGGCTTTTTTCATCGCTTTTTTGAAAGGGAGGAGCATCTATTGTCTAGAAGTTTGTGAAAATAAATGTCAAGTAGAAGCTAAAGAAAAAGTTTCTTTATAAATTGTATTTTCTTTTCTTTCAGCATGGAATAACACAAGCTAATGAGCTGGTGAACCTGTCAGAATTCTTTGTGAATCATATTCTACCTGATTTGAAGTCACCCAATGGTAATTGTTGTATTGCAGTATCTCTTTAAATGAAAGCTTAAGCTGTCTGAATGAAGGTCAGATTCCGCAAATAGGATTAATCTTAAATTATTTTAGTACAGCTGTGTTCTTTGGAATCCTGCTTCATCTTCTTTAAAAAAAAAAAATCAAATGGAATTTAGTGTTGGGAAGTTTGATTCGTAACTGTACATTTTTCTGTTTTAGTGAATGAGTTTCCAGTGTTAAAGGCCGATGCTATCAAATATGTCATGATATTCAGGAGTCAGGTGAGTAGTTTTCAAATGTCTTTTGTATTTCTCAGATTCTTTCAACAGTGAAGGAGTCAGCTTTGTCAGCATTTAATTTCTCTCTCATACTTTCTAATATATGGGATTAACTATAGGCAGTCATGTATTATAAATACAGGAATTACATGTTTGGCATGATGACATTCAGGCAGTTTCATTTTAATGTCAGGCATATGAACATTTTTCATCTGGGCTAGAGTGACACTAGAAGTATAGTAGAATCTGACTTATTTACACCTTGGATTTTTCTTCATTGTGCAGAAACTGAATTTAAGTTTTAACCTACCTGTAGTAGTAGAGGAGATTGAGATTCCTTGCCTCGTCTATTCTTGTTAAGTATTCCCTTCTGTGTGTGGTAATGTTTTACATTTTTACGGTAGTGTGAACTCTTCGCTCCCCTCGGACTTAGGGTGCCATTATCCGTGGAGTAATGTTCATTATAATCAAATGTGCCAGAAGAATGAAGTCTGTTTAAAACTATTGGGGAAAACTACAGAAAATCTTAAACATGTTGGTAATTTACAAAATATCTTAATAAAGCTTAACACTTTCTTCCTCTTGTGTATACAGTTCTAGTTCTTAGCACGTAGTGTGGTTGTCCAGTCCATCCTTAATATTTACCTTAATACTGTAGCTAAATCCTGCTGTTCTTTATCTCCAGCTTCCCAAAGAGCAGCTGCTGCAGGCCATCCCACTCCTGGTGAATTATCTTCAGGCAGAGAGCATTGTGGCTCACACATACACTGCACATGCCCTGGAGAGGCTGTTCACGATGAGAGGACCCAATAACACTACACTGTAAGTGCAGAAGTTTCAAAAAGCTGACCCTTTTCCAGGTTCAGGTTGTTCTGTGGAAACTCATCTGGATACTGCCAAAAGGTCCTTTCGATCTTCAAAACCTAAGTTTGAAGTGACTTCTCCTTTTGATTGGCTCACTGCAAAACTAACTGTAATTCAACATTGTTGAAAGTTTTTGAAGTAACCATCAAAAAGAGGTTTGATGAACGTAATGGCAGCAGTTAACTACAGCAGTTACACATTATTAAATCTTTTTTGCAACATTTTATGTGAAATTCATTGCAGTTCTTGTGACAGTTTTTTGGTTTCAGGAAGTGTCCTGAACAGTATAGTTTATCTGCTGGTCACATTATTACTGAAAGCTTCCACAGTAATTGTGGACATACGCAAGACCAGAAGTACAACCTAGATGTGAAGGCAAGTCTAATACTGATTTACTTTTTTTGTCCCCCTAATCTTAGTATCACTGCTGCAGAAATGGCACCATTTACAGAGCAGTTGCTAAACAACCTCTTCAAAGCACTGGCATTGCCTGGTTCTTCTGAGAATGAGTATATCATGAAAGGTAAGTCATCTTCCTGTCCAATTTGTGTAACCTCACTGTTGCAGTTTTACCTAAGACTGCTCTTGATCGACAACGCTAATGTTTCTTCTGATCATCTCCTTCCTATCGAATCCAGTCAAAGATGGGGGAAGGTCTCAATTTCATTGTCACTCCACACTGAAGTTTCTTGAATACAGTTTGTCATCTGTAGGCATGCTGAGGTGTTTGATATTTTAAGTATTACAATTTGTTTTTTTTTAACAGCTATCATGAGGAGCTTCTCTCTTCTCCAGGAGGCCATTGTCCCTTATATCCCCACTCTCATCAGCCAGCTGACACAGAAACTTCTCGTGGTCAGCAAGGTGAGATACATCCTACTGCTCTCATTAGTGTCCAACTTCAGTAGGTCCACTGTCTCCCTCCCACAAAATCAACATTGAATAAAAAGTAGGTCTTGGAGCACTGATATATAAAATTCCCCCAGATGTGTTTTTTTCCTACTGAGCTACTGATTTACTGTTGATCCTCTTAATTGAACTCTATGCCTTACCGGTCCTTTATACACAAAGAACTGATACTCAAGAACTGAGATAGTTGTCGTGTTCAAAATCAATATGATCCCCTTAAATATCTAAGTCCATACAGAACTTGGATATTTGTGAAGATATCATAATGTGGATTGTGTACATTAATTGTTGACTTAATGTGCTGTCTTTCAGAACCCGAGCAAGCCACACTTTAACCACTATCTCTTTGAGTCCCTTTGCCTGTCGGTGAGAATAACCTGCAAAGCCAACCCCACCACAGTCAGCAGCTTTGAAGAGGCACTCTTCCCTGTGTTTACAGAGATCCTGCAGAATGATGTGCAAGGTATGTTTGTTTCCTGACCAACCATACAGTATGCTTTAGTATGTCTAATAGAGACCTCTGGGGGTTTTTGCCAAACAAGCAGGTGTATTATAGTAAATGTTTATCTTGGCCCTTGATTTGAGTTACATTAAGAAGCTTTTTGTGATGAATCACGATACAATCATATTCTAGTTTTTATTTAGGATATGAAATAAGTATATTTTGTTAAGTGTATTGACTGTTTTAATTGAAATAATAACTTAAGATTTCTTTGTTTTGGTTCTTCTCACTGTATTCCTCTGAGTTTTAAACATTAGGCATTAAAGTATTGCCCATTTATAGCGACAGTACTTAGTCACCTGCTTCCTTCTTAACTTGGACTTTCCTACAAGTTACGGAGTGATAAGCTTGAGCTGTTTATTCTCTGCTTCTCTGGACTGACCTATTTTATTCTTTTTGATTTTAGCTTTTTTGTGTTTCCAGTTCAGCTGTTGTTTTACTCTGGGGAAATATTTTGCACTGTTTTTCTCTTTGCGTTGCAGAATTTGTTCCCTACGTGTTCCAAGTGATGTCTCTTCTGTTAGAGATGCACTCCTCTGCCATCCCCTCCTCCTACATGGCGCTGTTCCCTCATCTTCTGCAGCCTGTGCTGTGGGAGCGCACAGGAAACATCCCCCCTCTCGTCAGGCTTTTGCAGGCCTACTTGCACAAAGGGGGATCCACCATTGCTAGTACTGCAGCAGACAAGATTGTAAGCCTTTGCTGCTTTTTCCTTTTGATCTAGCAGAACAAAAAAGCATGTCTGTTAACCTGCCTACACAAACCTCGTCCTTCCTTTTTAAATGATAAAGCTATGCGTTTACATTGTGCCAACAAATTTCAGAGAGAAAAGGTGATTACGCACAGAGAGGTTGCTAGGATCAAATTATTAGTACTATATATTATTATTACTGTACTAGTATAAACTTGGAGTTAATTAACACGTGTAAAATTACAGCTTATACAGTGAATTTTAGTCAAACTTGCATTGAAACTAATCATTTGGGCATCACAATGCTGGTTGTCACTGTTAGCTTTCATCTCTGTCTGTAAAAGGTTGCATTGTGATTGATAGTGTAAGTTATAACAGGTCAAAAGGAATTCCGTTTCCATTCTTTTGATGCAGAGATGTATTGAATAAGTTAATACACTGCAAGCAACTAGAACTAGTTCCAAATGTTTCATTAAAGAACTGTATTCTGTTGGCAACATTTAAAAATGAACGTTTTTGCAAAACCAGACCATTGAGGAACTTGACAAACTTCTGCACTATCTTGATCTGCAGCCTGGTTTGTTGGGAGTGTTCCAGAAGCTGATTGCATCCAAAGCAAATGACCACCAGGGCTTTTACCTCCTCAACAGTATCATAGAGCACATGCCAGTGTGAGTAACATGATTCTTCACATACAATTAAGTGGTAATTTAATATAAAGACGACGTTACAGTTGTCAGATTCCTAATCTCTTGCTTAATCTTTCCCTCTTGATGTTATTGTCTTACAGAGAATCCATTACACAGTATAGGAAACAAATCTTTATCCTCCTCTTCCAGCGGCTTCAGAATTCAAAAACGACTAAATTCATCAAAAGTAAGTTCATTGGTGTGGGTGCTGATGTGGGAGTTTCTGCATCCTCTCCCCTGCCATAACCTGATCTTGAGTGTGGAGCGCTCCCCTGCTCAGCTCCATGGTGCTCAGGGGACAGGTGGGGGCAGAGCAGTGCTGACCTAATCATATCTTTATTTTAGGGGCCTTTTACTGGCACTGCTGTCAAGTTTCTATTGAGGGCAGGGAGACTGGTGCTTCTTTTGTTCATTTTTTTATATTACAATTGGTTCAGAAAAAATACATTGGCAACAAACTTAAGCAGATCATGGGTCAGTTTCCTTCTCGGATGCTCACCTCAAGAAAACGCATAGATTTGTTCTGGGTGTCCTTTTAATGCTCCTGCTTGTTTTGTAGGTTTCCTAGTGTTTATCAATCTGTATTGTGTGAAGTACGGAGCCATCGCTCTTCAGGAGATCTTTGACAGCATACAGCCCAAGTAAGTGTATGATCTCGAGCGTCTTTACTGGACCACCATAAGGTATAGAAAATATTGGTGAATTTTAATGTATTGTTGGATTAACTGATTTAACGTGTTTGCAAATCCTGAACGGTCTGTTCATCACTAGTTTCCTTTTAGATTTACATGCACTTAACTAAAAAACACAGAAACGCACTATGATGTCACTTCCCCTGCAGTTTATTATGCAAATTCTTCAAAAGGTAACTGAGCTCTTGAAATTGTAATCTGTAGGATGTTTGGGATGGTCTTGGAGAAGATTGTTATTCCAGAAGTACAGAAGGTCTCTGGCCAGATTGAAAAGAAGATCTGTGCTGTAGGCATCACTAAAATACTGACAGAATGCCCGGCCATGATGGACACAGACTATACAAAGCTCTGGTAAGCAGTGTTACACCTTGTTCATGTGTGTTTTTCTGGGGACATGTGACCCCCGGGGTTGGACTGCTGGTGCATGACAGCTGCTGTACATCATAGGTCTGTACTTCAGTACAGTGGATGAAATGGATTCCGTTCCATGTCTGCTTTGAGACAAAACTACGCTGCAAATTGCTCTGCTCTCTTCCTTGTTTACGGTGTAAAAATCAGAATGTATAGTAGCAAGAGGTATTTGTTCTGTAGTCTGGCCAGGCAGGTAGAAGACAGATTACTAAAGAGACCGTGACGTGATCTCATTGATCCACTCTTGTCAGGACTCCTTTGCTGCAAGCCCTGATTGGTCTGTTTGAGCTGCCAGAAGATGACAGCATCCCTGATGATGAGCACTTCATTGACATTGAGGATACACCTGGATACCAGACTGCTTTCTCCCAGCTGGCTTTCGCAGGGAAGAAAGAGCATGACCCCATCGGAGATGCCGTCAGCAATCCCAAAATCCACCTTGCACAGTCTCTCCACAAGCTGTCCACAGCGTGCCCAGGAAGGGTAAGTGACCACAGCTTGGCTTCAACACGTAGCAGAAGTCTGTGTTGGAGTTGATGTAGAGCTATGTGGGACAGGATGTTTGCGCTCTGGGCAGACACAATGAACCCAGTGTACTCATCAATTTCCCGTCCTTAAAGTCAACTGAGCATTTCACACTGGGTGTTCCTTTATGGCACGAAGCTCTCTTTGCAAAGGCAAGTTTGTTCCACACTTTTTTTTTTCCCCCTTTTAATAAGTTTTTTTATCACTTCTTTGAAGTTTTTTCTTATTGTATTGAAGCTGTTTATTTCAAACGTAGGTTGTGACTAAGAATTCAAGAAGCTAACAACTTTAAATAGTTTGATTGCTTTAAAGCTAGGTTATTTTTTGTCAGGGTTTCATGGCAGTCCACTGTTAAATGTGTAGTGCTCATTAAAACCTCTTTGTTGTCAAAAGGGCTATTTAATACTTATTAAAATAAGACTTGCCTTATTTAACATAAAGTAAATGGAGTATATGAGGGAGTTCTGTGCATATTTAATGTAAACAAATTGAAGTCTTTTTTTTCCAGAAGGGTTTCCAAGTATATTTCATAATCCAGTTCAGGTGTATAAAACTTACACGTTTTATTTTTTCGTTCTCTTTGAAAGAAGAATGTGATTATTAATGTTTTTCTAGGTTCCCTCTATGCTGAGCACAAGCCTGAATGCTGAAGCACTACAGTTCTTGCAAGGCTATCTCCAAGCAGCAAGTGTCCAGCTCGTGTAAGACTTAGGACCCTGAAATCAAATCATTGAAAACCTGCTGAGGACAATAAGGCCAGGATGAGAATTACAGAAGGTCGCAGGAATCATCAGCAAACTTTGTGAACCAAACTCCTTTATTCTCTCACCAGATATTGATCTTTGACAGAAACTTTTAAGGATTTTAATTTGGCATTTCCAAAAATATCATGAATTGTCTTTAAGGTAAAAGTTGCAAATGTTGTGATCTAGAAACTCATACAGTGAAGTTTTACAGACCTCATTGGGACAGCTCTCGCATATAAGTTTCTTTGGACTGTTGTAAAAGCATTTTCTGTTACTAGTATCATTTTCTTTGTGTAAAAGAAGGTAGGCAGTTGAGTTTTCACTAACCTTCTGTTACATGCTAGAAAAGCTTTGTAGGAACTTTTTTCAAGGGGGATTTCTTCAAATGCTAGTCAGAATACCTTTTCATGTATAACTACATGAAATCTTATCAGTTTGCAAAGGAATAGAGAAACATGTTAATCCTGTGTATGAGCTATGAGTTCAAACAGATCGCAGTTGTCTTCTGGCCGTGCAACACCCTTGTTCCCATCCTGCAAATCCACGAGAGGACTGTGTTCATTTCAAATCTTCTTTTGCAGTTTTACTGTAGATCAGAGTTTTCTGAGAGCTCTTTGACAGCAGCATTTTTTTTATGCTTCCACCATTCTTCTAAACCATTTGTATCTTGTATGTCTTTATTTATGTCTTGTCTCTTTAGTTTCTCATGTTCCAAATGTGAATAAATAAAAAGCACTTGTGTATATTCAGTTTTTGTGTACTTGTGAACCTACAGTACATGTACTACAGTCCAGGACCTTGAAGGTAATCAAAGGTGGATGAAATGCTAAGTTTATAATCATTTGGTTACATTTAAGATTTCTTCAAAATGACTATATTGCCTTGATACAAAAATGTGTAATCTACATGCAGAGTTCTTTAAACAGTTGGTGTAGTTAAAGGATTGATCACCTAAAAATTACAAGGATATAGATTGTTGACTTATGGATTTGTCTTCTCAAATGGATGCCAACATTAATGCAAATTTTGAAGTATGACATTGCATATTTTGAAAGACTGAACTAAGTTATTCCTACCAACATTTAACAAAGTGTAATGAAAAACAGGATGATTAAAAACATGTTGGATTAAAACACTTGGAACATTCACTTATGAAAATCTCAAGTAACTATCACTCAAGTGATTTGGGGTTTTCTGAAGTGTACCAGTGAATTGGCTTGGTTCCATTTTTCTAGCCTTCAGAAATGAGAGTTTAAGAGTGCCCTTTAACACCTGTTGGATTGTGGCTTTTTGAGAATGGGCTTGTGCAACTACAGCATCAAAATGATGCACTGCTGTTATCTCTAACATTGTTAGATTAAAGGTTCTTTGTGTCTAGGAAATACCAAGATAAATTGGATCCACAGCCCCTGTCCAGTTCTGAGTGACAGAGGTGGAACTGGTAACCACACCCTTCCCACAATGCTTGTCCCATTCTATTTGAGGGCCGTTGGCACAGTTTTCTACCCATAATTTTTCAGTCCATGGCTGTAAATGAGCGTGGTATCATAGAGCTCCATAAGAAGGATTGAGCAAGATTGTATCCAACAGTACATCAATCCATTGCTAACTTGCTTCTTTAAGGAAATCAATGCTGATCATTCCTTTTACTACAAATACAGTTCAGAAAATCTGTGTATACTTTTATGAACTTTAAGAAATTCTGAAGCACTGTACAATGTAATTGAATGTTTGTAATGAATTTTGGCAGCGCGTTCCAGTGTAGATGGGGAGCATACAAGAAGGCTTTGCCATCCGTTGTGAGATTCTGTGATCGAAAGATCTCAGATTATGAGTTGGACTGGACACCAGTCCATCACAGGGCACACACAAGATGGACTCCCGCAGCAGGGTCAATTAAACCAATGCAAAGCTGTAGTGCAAGGCCAAAAACCTAGATGAAAGTGAGGAGATGATAAAAACTCCATGCTGATGGCACTGAAAGTCCGAATATGAACCCAGAGCTGCAAGGTAGCAATGCTGACTACCGTACCAACCCTATACTTAACCAATATATCTAACATCATTTGGACCTAAACATTTCCAGACCTCACACATGACCAGTAGTACCTGCTAGAGTAGTCCACCCTATATATCGCTGGGAGCCTATTAAAAATTATACAAGACCGAAGGTAAGTGCTGATGCAGAATACATTTAGTTAGCACAAGTCTTAGAATTCCTGACATTTTAGCCCATTTACTATCATATAAGATTCTATTGGTCTGATATTGGTATGCATCATGTTTATATAGTATCAGACAGGCCAAGCACTGGTTCTAGAGTGAGCGGTGTTCTGCAGGCAGAAGGAAGTGACTTGTGATGTTCCTAACATGCACTTCTAATGACAACACTGATTCGGAAGCAAGTTTTCTGTCTTCCATCAGAGTTTGGATTTCAGCACCATTCACAATAACATGGAAGTCGTCTGTTCTATGCTGTTGATGTTGGGAGCCTAGAATTTCAGCCTAGTCGCAGTTTTGCTAAAGAAAGTTCAGCTGCTTCCATATGTTACCATCAAACACCTATAAAGCACAATAACAGCAGCAGTAGCATCCAATTTGATCTGGAATATATCTTCAATTACCATTGCAATGAAACCTATGACCATAATGACAAATGATCTAAGGGACACCATATATAAACTAAAAGATGAAGGCCCCAGCATTTTAGATGTTTCCTCATTATATTATAATACTCTAATGCTGGAATAATACATGCCTGAGTACCATGCTGATGAAAGCTCTGGACGGGGCTGGGAATGATAGCACCATAGCCTTGAAAATACTAATTGAACATCTCCAGCAGTTAGTTCCAATTAACCCTCCAACCCAGGTCTCTTCGATAGTTTACGGTGCTTTGTGATACCATTATCAATATTTCACAGTATCGAAGCTGCAATTCATGAAGTCACAAGTTGTTTTCGGTCTTGAGGTATTCCAGTCAAGAGGGTGTTTTCACGCCCCCTATCGTCCAATAAAAATGTAGCATGTTAATAAGTAAGGAAGAGAACCGGCGTTAAATGATGTATAACATCGTTTATTAAAATTATGAACAGCCTGTGTTTTGCAGTCTTACAGTAACGTACACAAGTTATTCATGATATGGCTCGCATTTTTTGCAGCTCGTTATTCCTTCTCGATTTCTCCAGACCGGGGCACTTCCTGCGAGCCGGCTGAGGTCACTTCCGGAATGGGAAACCGAGGCTGGGCCATTCTCTTTAGTGTTTGCCCTGTTTGCCTTTTTCTCACCATAACACTAACATTTTAATAAAAAAATAGAAGAAAAATCCATAAAAGTGGAACAGATCAAATATAAATCTCACATACCGTAGCTCATGGAGTAAAGAAATCCTTAACTGCTGGACTGAAACATAAAAAGAGGTGAGATCTTGCAAGCTTTTTTAAATTTTTGATTTGCAATCACATTGTGTGCTCTGCTCCACTGTCTTGTGCTACCTTTTACCTTCAATTGAAACGCACGGAAAGCGTAAAGTTTTATTCGACGAAACATTCTTTCCCAAATCAACACATTATTTTTAAAATCCAGGTGGGGATTAATATGCTCGTTTCTGGTAGAGGTCAGTAGCTTTGTAAACCAAACAATAACATTCAACGATCTGGACGGTGTTGTTATTCTTGTTTTGTTTTACAATCGCATTGAGTACTACAGAGAAATAGTTGCGCATTTAAATGTGGTATCCAGAAACGTGGTCGATGCGGTTAAATATACTTTATTAGTGGGTTTTTATGTTTATGTGCATTTTTACAGCATTGTTAGGTTCCGTTTTGTAACAATACACCATGAATGAAGTTTTTTCTTAGAAACAGGTATATTTCTTTATAAGAATATGCTATACTCGTCCCCCTGTCGTGTCACTTTGCTGGCACTGAAGTAGCCAGATAATATTTCGGGGGTATTAAGGTGTCGTTAAATCTCACCCAGAAGTAACGTCATTTGCATTTGCCGCTTTGGAAAAAAAAATGCTAATGTTGCAGTTCTCTCAAACCATGTTTTCTTTGCTTTGGAGTACTTGAGCTTTCGAAATATTTTGGCGACGTGATTTCAACAAAATAACAAATTAAAGGCCACCACAACTCTTGTTTTCGCAGTGCACGGTATGTTTGCTGGTAGCTACAGTAGTGTCGGGAGAGGTTACGAATGCTAACGAGCAGGTCACGATTTTCTTGAACATGCCGTGATTGCACTTCAAGAGAATCGGACGATTGTCTGTCTTTATTTTTAAATGTCCATTGTTCAGCACTTTCGGTGTGTCCAGGCTTAGGTGAAGGATAGTAGGCCTCAGACCAGACCCTTACGATTTGGGAGAGAACACTTACGGTTTTAAATTGGTCTGGTCAATTTTAGACGCCTTCCGTGTCGTGAATTAAGCTGTTGTCCACCGTGAAAGCAAACAGGTTAGCGTGCATCTTCTGGTATGCGTAGTCGTCGAAAATAATATGTTTGGAGAGTGCAGGGGGTCGTCTGTCTACTTGGAGAAATCTTATTTGGAGTTCGTTTGTACGCGCCTCCCTCCTAATTTTAAAGTTAAAATGAACATTTTACATCTGGATAATTTGAAGTCTTTTGGTATTGAGCAAAGTCTCTATGTTTACCATCCCCGCATTCATTAAAATTTGACGTGATGGATGGATTAGTCTTAACACAGATTGAATAGGGCTGGTATTTCGTTTTCGCAGTTTTTGTTTTTGAAAACACCTCAAAACAACACTGTATGTTCATCGGAGCTGTAATTATTAGTGGTCACGATTGTAGATCATAGATTGTAGATAAATATCAGCTTATAATGATTCTTGGCATTATAAACACAGTAATTTAGCTGTTTAAGAGGAAACACTGTTCATACAAGGGAGACACTTGCAGAGAGAAAGACCTACCATTTCAGCCACAGGGGTTGTGTGTCCTGGTTTAATTGAGATCTGCTAAAGTTATGTATGTGACACATCCAGGAATACACAGAAATCGCTTGTGCAGTGCACTGGGTCTGTCTTGATGTTTCTGCCATTCATTAAGGCTTTGGCCAAAAAATTGTTTTGGTAGTCCACAGTAACAATCTTTTTAATAACAGGAACAATTTTATTTTATATAGTGCCTTTCATGTTAAGACACCTCAGAGCTTCAAGAAGTCAAATGCACTTTTGATAGACTAGAGTTGTGACTTAAATATATAAATAAGTGGGGCTGTGATGTGATTTTGATCTCTTTAAAATAGTTTTTGCCTCTAACTTGCCTTACCTTTTTATTTCAAGCATATGATTCTCAATCAAGAGGTAGTTCTTATTGAAGTATGCTCAATACTTTTGGCTTTGTGCCTGACAGGTTATTAAAACTTACCAGAAAAGCATGTTAATGTTTTAGAATTCATACTGTAACATTCAGACATAAAATGGAATTGCAAAGCAAGATGATGCTGCTCATTAGTTAACATTTAAGATAGTTTTAAGGTAAAAAGATAAATAATCCTCAAATGTATATAGCACTTTTCTGGACTCTCCACTGAAAGCGTTTCACAGGTAATGGGGACTCCCCTCCACCACCACTAATGTGCAGCCCCCACCTAGATGATGTGATGTCAGCCATAGTGCGCCAGTACACTCCCCACACACCAGCTATCAGTGGGGAGGAGAACAGAGTGATGAAGCCAGTTCTTAGATGGGGGTTATTAGGCCATGACTGGTAAAGGCCAAGGGGAAATTTGTCCAGGACACCAGGGTAAAACCCCCTACTCTTTTTGAGAAACTCCCCAGGGATTTTTAATGACCATGGGTAGGTAGTCAAGACTTCTGTTTTACATCTCAGCTCACAAAGAAGGACTTTGCTGTTTTGTTTTGCAGTATAGTCTAAAAAGCTTACAAATTAGTCACTTGCATGTGTGATATGTAAAGGCGACTTTAGATGTAATTAAACCCTGTTTGTATGTATGATGTGTTTACTCTGTGCTGTCGACCAGTTTAGTTTCTAGTTCTGCTAACTACATTTCTTTAAAAAGAATTAGACTGGATTCATTTTTAAAACCCAAACATTACCTAACCTCAAAAAAGAGCAAGATGTCCCCCGTCCCATATGGCTATCGTTTTTGGATATAATCTTATCTGAGTAAGCATCCCACAGTACACAAGCTTTTGAATTATTTTTCCCAGGAAGAGCTTTGCTGGATTACTCCAAACTTGCGCTGAACCCCTGTGCTGCGTGCTGTGAAAGTCTTGGAACCGGACGTCAGTATGGCCCAAGTTCAGGTCCAGAGCCCTGCTGGGAGCCCCCTGTCCAACACTACACAGCACCTGAAGCCCAGTGCTCCCCAGCCTAACCTCAGCATCCCCAATGCCTCCGGCCCGCTGCCTTCCGAAAACGCCAGCCACCCGCTCAAGAACTCTGCTCTTCCTTCTGCTTCGGCCACTCCCATCAGTGCACCTGCAGGTAAGGCCGGCACATGAGCTGGAGAGGCTGCTCCTTAACTCGGCCTGAGACTCGCTCGCTGAGATCTGTGAAAATCAGGGCTGAGGTTCGCTAGGATCAAGTGTATTTTAGTTACAAATTCAGGAGTGCGCTTTGTTAAACATGAGAAACTGTGCAAACCACTTAGCTCTGGGAAAGACCTGTTCCTTGTAGTGTTTTTTAGTTGATCACCAGCTCTCTCGTATATTTCTTTTCTCCTTTTTCCACTTCTTTTGTTAAGCTTGGCGATTCAATTACAAATCCCACACAGCTTTTTGAAGGGCTGAACGCGAGAGTGCAAATGAGCCTTAAATAGAAGACTGAAATTAATTAGCCTGTGATTAAGATCTCATCTGGAGCAAACCCCAAAAGTCACAGGGGTCCCCGAGGACCGGCATGGAGAGCCACGTGTCTGCAAGCTGACATTGGACGGTGTTTGAGGTTGATGATGAAAAAGGAGCCGAAGGCTCTCAGACGATTGGTTTGAAAGAAGGATTTCTGTTTCTCCACACTTATTTTAATGAAATTCCTTCAGGATTAAAAGTAATTGTTTTCCTGATCGTGGTAGTTCCAAGTGTATACAAAGTAGCTGTACCTGAAGGTGAGAAAAATATCGTCAATTTAGACAAAGCATTCCTGTTCCTTGTAGAAAAATATATTCTCTCCTTTTGTGACATTAACTTCGTGTACTGCTGATCTATTCCATTCTTCATCTGTTAGAATAACAGTAGCTGAGTGATTTTTCCCCCCCTAATTACATTTCTTAATGAGTGTAATATACAGCCAACTTTTTAAGGAGTCTTTTTTGGTTTAAAGACCAGTGTAAAGATGAACTGCCTTGAGAAGAGATCATACAACTTGAGTAAGTCGGATCCTATCTATATATAGAATAAAATTTCACAGAACATGGACTTGGCACGCAGAGACAGCAGGGCAGGGGCATGGAGTTGGTTTGTATGAGGGTGTGTTCCTGACCAACTGTCAGTGCAAGTCTGCAGAGACCGTATCTGCCAAATTGCATCAAAGGTCAGTTAGTCAAATTCAGATTTTTTTACAAGGGAACAATAACAGGAGTCATATTTCTAAAGGAGGCACTTCAGTGAAGCTGATTAAAATGCACATTTCTTGAGAAAATATGTAAGAATATCCAGTTGTTTCAGAGTCAGGATAGTAATGTTTTAGATCTCAGGCTTACAATCGAGTGGCAGAGTGAAATCACCTCTAGAACAACGTTTTCTAGACCAACGTTTGACCATTTCTGTTTACCGTAAAATGTTTGTTGGAAAGTTCATGGCATTGACAGCACATCAGTGAATTATTTTAAGACATTTTGTAAAGAAGGAGTTATGTTAGAGACAACTTAAAGAGCGACCGATTGAGATACTTTATATCAGCTTACCTTCCATGTTTGTTTAATCACAGGTTTTATCATTCATATTAAACAAGTTATTTACATTTCGGGTATCAAAGATGCTCAAACACCTGAATTCTTAGTCTGCTGGAATGGAGACACAGTAGGAGGAGATCTTTTTTTAATGTATCACACCTTCCTCACAATATCAAAAGCTTCCCTTGGGGTTGTTTCTTGACCCCACTAGAATGCCCAAGGTTCTGATGTTTTCCCTAGTGACCTCAGCAAGTGCTGCTCCTATGAGTGCAATAAGGAGATGTGACAGTGGGCTGCCCTGTCTTCATCCGCAGGGAATCAGTTTGACATCAGACCACTGGGGAGCACTGGAGCCCGAGGTCCAGAAAACCTCTTTAAAAGCTTGTTAAGAAAATTGGAGACCTTTTGCAAGTTGGAAATTCTGTAGAATTAAGTAATGGACATTTTCTGAGCCATATCTTCCTGAACTGCTCAAACATATGACACTGTATACTGATAGTGTATACATAAATCATATTGACAATGTTCATGTAATGTCCCTTTTAATATCTAAATGTTTTCCATTATTTTTTAGATGCTTTACATCACCCTGTTTTGTTCTATTGCGATTGTAATTCTGAAAATGCTTTTTATTCTTTTAGCCTCTGCTGGTTTTTTTTTTCCTCATGGCCATCCTGTGTTTGCCGTTCATTGTGCTTTTTTTCTTTCATTGGATCCTGTTCTTTTTAATTTTCCTTCATTACTCCATTTAGACAGTACTTTCTAGACTGAGACTACCCAGCTTGCAGCCCTACCATTCCACCTAATTCCACAATTCTGCAACAAGCTGCTACTTAATTAAGGATCAGTGTAGGGTATGGCTGTGCAGAAATTAGTGAATGGAACTATGAGGACCATAACCTGAGTAGCTGTGCTCTAGTCTTTGTACTTACTCATAGAAGAATCTGTTCTGTGTTTCACACAGAATGTTTAAACCTGGATTTTACACAGTGTAATTAATACATCTTAATACAAGAAGGCCACCTGTAATTGCACTTAATATGAACATATGCCTTCAGGTTTCCTGGTCATGTTTTCACAAATTATGCTATAATTACGCCAGCTCCATTTTGGCATTTAGAATTTTGATTATGCAGAAATTGCCGTGCTAAAAGAAAAACTAAATTGTAGCCTAAAAGGGTAAGATTTTTTTGCTAATTTTAATGTTAACTGCCCAAAGGCTTAGTTCTTTACAATTTATAATAAGTTCTCCACCTTTTAAAACGAATAAGAGCTACATTGCATTAAAGGGATACCAGTTTCAGAAAGTCAGAGCCATCAAGCAAAAATCACTTTTTTTTTTTCCCCAAGCCCCAAAAGACAAATCTCTGCCACTGTGATTTGTTCAGAGTGCTGTTCCTTTGCACTTTGGTTTCTAGATTAACTCATATCTTTACATCTCTGAACTGGTAACTTACGTCTTGTGGATAGGGTGTGATGAATCAATCTGTTCTACTTGTATATTCATTTTTTTTTCCGCCAGATACTTCTGATTGGCATTTCAAGCCATTCATCTTTCCCAGCAGTCAAGTTTCCCCCATTTTCTGTTTTCCAGTTTCTAACATGGCAAACCCCAAAGAGAAGACCCCAATGTGTCTTGTGAATGAGTTAGCCCGTTTCAACAAAATTCAGCCCGAATACAAGCTTTTGAGTGAGCAAGGACCAGCTCATTCTAAGGTAATTCAAACACGTTTGTCTTTTATGTTGTATAAGAGCCTGAGTATTGCATAGTGCTTGAATGGTAGTAGGGCAACCAAATTGCCATCAGTCCACCAAGCACTTCCACACAGCGTGGGATTCTCAATTTGCCCTGAAACTGACACAAATGAAAATGCAAATGGAATACCACAGCAACATACAGGTAATACTGACTGGCTGCTCACCATTCCTGCCACCAGTCAGAGAAGGGGTACAGATCGGTGTTACTAGGTATTGTGGGGGGGGGAGGATGGACATGGAGCCAGTACAGATTGAGGTGAGACGATACAGTCCAACACAATCCCTTTCGGGCTGGGAGGCTGTGTTTCACACACAGCTCAAGAGGAAGGGATACTGACCGATAAATCTGTTGGAGCCATGTTGGACCAGAGGGTTTTTTTCTAAGCAGAACCTTTTGCTTTAAAGATGAAATTTTCGAAGACATATTAAATTGATTTTTACTTTGAAAGCTTCAAAGAGGACAGTAAGACTTTTTTAGTAGCTGATATTGATGTAAAGAATTGGAGGACTACAATGCAGTCTTAGGGGTACAATTTGACATACCCAGAGATTACAGTGCAGATATTACAACTGGGGCAAGTACCACGTGTTAAAGATAGCTAAAATGTTAACTGTAAAGGCAAACATTAATGATATACAGTGTTTAAAGAAGTTACTTTAGTGGAAAAGTAACAAATGCTTTAGAAATAAGTGTCTGTACCAAACAGTAATTTATTTATTTGTTTTTATTGTAATGTCGTATTTCTTCACAAAACTGAGGAAAATATTGATAAAATTTCATTGAGCAGCCTAAACTTGCTTATCTCCTATCCATTATTCCATACTATGTCCCAAAAACGACATTTTGCCAGGTTAATTTATGTCCCCAAAAAGGTCATAAGAAGATCTTTAAAGTAAAATTTCCCTGCAATCGCATGGCTTTTTGTAGCTAGAAAGGAATTGTGAGCTTTCAGATTCTGAACAGAAGGCTCAACTTTAATAATAATAATAATAATAATAATAATAATAATAAACTTTATTTTATATAGCACCTTTAAAGGTGGCTTCTCAAAGCGCTTTACAGGATGACAATAACAATAAATAAGAAGACTACAACAATAAATAAGAAGATTTCACAAGATAGGACACAATTATAATTACAACAATAACAATAGAGGAGACCGTGGAAGGTGGTATTAAGAAGAGCAGAGGGGTGAAGAATGGAACCAGTTAAGTAAAGGCTTTTCTGAAGAAGAAGGTTTTGAGTCTGGATTTGAAGGAGTTTAGAGAAGGTGACTCTCTAATATCCTTGGGCAAAGAGTTCCAGAGCTTGGGGGCATAGCAGGAGAAGGCCCTGTCGCCCATGCAATGTAGACGGGCTTGGGGGACAGTAAGGAGGGCAGAATTTGAAGAGCGGAGGTTGCGAGGTGGGGAGTAGGGCGATAAACATTCAGACAGGTATTGAGGTGCCAAGCCATGTAAACTTTCTTACCCCTGTGTCCTCTTGCCGGGCATCTTCCCTGCAGCTGTTTTCAGTGCGACTGACTCTGGGGGAGCAGCACTGGGAAGCTGAGGGGACAAGCATCAAGAAGGCCCAGCACGCAGCGGCAGCCAGTGCCCTCTCTCAGACTACGCTGCCTAAGCCCACCATACGTCCACCTCGCAGCACAGGCAAGAACCCAGGTAACACCGCCCCCCAGTGACGGCGGCCTACAACCGCCTGGTTTTCAATTGCGGGCAGGGCTTATAATTTATTGACCAGTGGAGACAAATCTGACTCCTGAGGGGCTGATGAATCTCTGATGTGACCAATCCCTGAATCACTTCATTTAGCAAACCTATTGAATTGTTCTGCCCAGCAACTGGACAGAGGTGTATTTCAGTGATTCAGTGAAATGCAGTGAAACAAAGGGAAATGATCTCACTCTGGTTTTATTGATGACATCCCCCTGGAATTGTTGCCAAATGCTCCAAGAATTTTTTTTTTTTACAAAAAAATTGTAAAGATGTCAAAGTACTGCCCTTGCTGTGAGGTACAAAAAAGGTAAATTTGTGAAAAACTATTCTACTCTTTAAGTTGAATTATAATATGAATGTCTGATCATGTTATGTGATACCATTGAAAATGGAACTAACTCCTTCTTTTAATTACATATAACAACAAAAGTCCTGGATGCATGCATTAGATTTGGATTCATTTTTATTTAACAGTTAAAGTGATCAAAATGTGGTTAAGCTATGAGGGTATATATGTTTTTTTATACACCCATGCAGTTCTTTTCTAAATCCCTGTGGTTTAATAAAAAAAATAACTTGCCAAATACTTAAATCTTCCAAATTTATTTCTACAGAAGCCAAAATCCATCTTTGGAAAAATGTGTATCCAAAGCTGAATTAATAACTCTTCTTTCTTCATGCATTGACAAGTAATAATCCAGTCTGTATACTCATGTCCATATTAAGTTTCTCCCTACCTAGGATGTTGCTGGTAGTGTTGGATATTATCAAGATGCAGATATTAATGAAGTGCAGCCAGTTAAAGGCATGTTGTTAAGTAGAATTTACTCACCTATGTGTTTCTTGAGTCTGTGTAATAATGGATGTCCAGTGCCAATCTAGGTTTGTGTCTCATTCCTGAAGTCTGGGCGTAGATTTTTATTTAAAAAAAAAATCCCCTTACTTTCCTGTTATATGTGCATATGAGAAAAATAATATTTTATTATTATTTTTTCAGATGGTAAATACAGGAGTCAAAATTGTCCTTTCTTGTTTTTCCAGAACCAAGTGCAGTGCACTCACCTGTGTGGGCTTACATCACTACTGTCATTACCGTTATGATAGAGTAGAATTCACTCTGAAGGCATTCCTTCAGTTTTGTCAGGACTTTGTGAATACAAAAATAGCATTGAAATCTGATGGATTTGTAGAGCAGGAAAAAGCCTGGTGAGATGTCTGAGTTACAGGTTGAATTTCATGTGTTGCCGAGCTGGTGAGGGAATAAAGCACGTTCAAATGAGTGCCACCCAAATGAATTTTAACGCTTGTTTTCATAGCATTTTGTCAATTCTTTTCAATGTATTTTTTACAGACAGTATAACCCACACTGTGGAGCTAAATGCACTTTGTATGAAACTGGGAAAGAAACCAATTTATAAACCTATTGATCCCTATCCTGGAATGAGGCCCAACTTCAACTACAATGTCAGACCTCCTGGCCCCTATCCAAGGTAGGTGCATTTACAAACATTTAAGTCCCTTACTGTAAGTAGACTTTTGCTTGTAAAGTGTAACTTATATATAGTAGATGTCACAATTAAGGGGATTCCTGTAAATCTTAGTGAAATCCTTCTATCTGTTCTCAAACGTGTTCTGTGTTACATAAAGGTATGTACATATGAGAAAGTGAGGTTTACATAGCTCTCTGGTTGCTAAGGTCCCACTCAAAATAGATTCAGTGTCCTGGACAGAACTAAGAGAGCCTGCAAAAGAGAGATATTTCACCCGTTTTATCCATTTGGTAGTTGATTATGTAAGTGAATCTAACATTTCCTGACACTTCCTGAAGTTGTCCAGAGCTTGGGTCTTAACCACCGGCAGACACCTACAACTTCTTGTGCAAAGATCTTTCTTGTTGTGTGTTCCTTGGAGAACTCCTTTTTACTGTCCATTCGTGACTCTTTGTTAAAGTGGTGAATACAAGCACACTTACCCTTTTTGGCTTAACGTTGGGCTATATGCTTGTTTACTGAGAAGGTTTTACAGTAAAGTATAGAACAGCTGCCTGATGCCGCAAGTTAAACCAGTGTCAAAATCAAAAAATGTTTTGCCTGTATTCTTTTCACCAGTACACTGTTCTTTAGTATTTGTGTAATGAACCACCTGCTACACTGCGTTATCAAACATGTCGAGTTTCAAAATATGCTCTTAGAAAACCAAAAAGGTCTTATCACAATGGTTTTAAAGAGGCACTGTTGTGAATGTAAAAGTCATATCATTCAACATCTTTTTTCTGAATAAGTCCAGAAATCTTTCCAGTGAGAGAAAATATTGCAAGTGAAGTTCCTCTGAACTTGAGGCACTTTTCTGCCAGTTGTGCTAGCCAAATAGCATTGTTTTCTGTAATCAGCCCCAGTCAATGTAATGGACACTTATGAACATGCACTTGAATTCTGGTTGAGTGTACAAAAAAGCTAACCAGAAACAGGTGCAGACTACAGTATTCCAGAGTGCTTTAAGACATGAGTCCTTTGTAAAATAATCTGTTTTGGAACCATGTAAAATGTTATTACCCATATCAAAGCTAGAGCTGGATAATCATATTACAAAAGGATAATGTTGCCCACATTTATGTATTATGTGGATAGTTTACATAATTTAAAATACTGTAATAGTATCTTAAAACATTCTGGATTTTTGAAACCGTCTTACCATATTTGAATTTTAGGGCAAAAATAGATGTAATTAAGAATTAAAATATAAAGTGAAATAAAATTATATTTCATTAAAGTTGTTGGGTGAGTGAAACTTAAAATATCTCTTAATAGAATCAATGTGACCCCCTACAAAGCTTGTCATCTTTATCTGATGTGTTGTACAAGGGTGCATCATCAGAAAAAAACAATCAAATCATAATTTTTCAACTCAAGGCTTTCTATCAGTGAGGGCTGAATGTACGTTTGGCTTCATGGGGCATTCCTGAAAACTTGAACATCTTTAGAAGTGACTCATCTAACAGTTATTAATCATAATCCTGTGGCCAGAGAAGAAGGTATCCTAAACCAGTCTGTCAGTGCTGACCAGATGGGCTAGCTCACGAAATGCTGCGATTCATAATTGAAAATGACATGTTGCAGGGGAACACAAGGGTCCTGATTTTTGGGTTTTAGCCAAGTTATACAATTTTGTCTCCCCAAATATCTATTCCTGTGTCCTGCTTGTACCTGAAATTTTCTTTTGTCAGAAAAGTCCTAAAGGTTTGGAGTAATATTTACACCAATTCATGCTTGAAGAAGTGAAAATTAGGCAGCACAGTCATATTAAATTGAAATAGTGAACACAAACATGACCCTGAAGCATAGACTTGTCTCTAAACCATGCATACGTGAAATAAACAACATGTATTCTTTAAAAAGATTGCTTAAAAGTAGCCCTTAGCTTTCACCTTTTCTTGCACAGAGTTAACAGTAAGGAGGCAAGAAAAGATCAATCCGATTACCGGAATGGTTTTCTTAGAAGGACCAATTTTATGAGTATTAAAATTTGAAATGTCAGTCTAAGTAACTTTTTATGGCTTAGAAGGCTTGATTGATTAAAAGATTGAAACTGATTTTTCTATAAATAGCCTTAAGAGGAGCTGACAGTGTTGAAGATCTGTGCTCTAGTGTACACGTTAAAGATTGTGCTGGGCTCTGGATTCTGGGACGTCCTGATGTTGCAGGTACTATTATCCATTCCCTCCCGTGGGGCCGGTGATGTATCACATGGAGCTGTCTATTGGGGGCCAGCAGTTCCATGGCAAAGGCAGGACCAGGCAAGCTGCTAAACACGACGCTGCTGCCAAAGCACTCAAGGTCCTGCAGAAAGAGCCCCTTCTGGAGAAGAGGCTGGAGGTGAGTCTGTCCACCGCAAAACCCTCTCTCTGAGGCAGCACGCATCTTAAATGCTACCTTTTGATTTGATGCCTATAGTTATCATATCTTTTTTTAATTTTATGATGGTTTTGATGCTAACTCGTCATTCTCACAACACTTATTTGAAGACATACAAGTATTAAAATGTAAAGTTTTTGCACAGGATTTCCTTTTGAGCTGCTATAGTTATTTCCGTGTGTGTTAATTGCATGTTTATCGATCACCAATAAACCTAAATGTCAATATTAATCATTAATATGATTAATATTGAATTTAGTCTTTAAACACAAACAGTGGAGTGTTGTGCCTTGCAGGTAAATGGAGAACAATCTGAAGAAAATCTTAACAAATCCGAAATCAGCCAAGTATTTGAAATTGCACTGAAGAGGAACATGCCTGTGAACTTTGAGGTATGGAGCATGATCAAACGAATCATTCTTGGTTTTAATCTCTACCATTCTACGTGTGCTATGTAATGAGCTGTAGGACTGCATCGCAGTTATCTCAAGCATGTTGGAAATGTTTTAAATGTCATCTTTTGTAACACGGCAGCTTGGAGCCCTCCTTCGTTTTTTATGGTTAAACAGCTTATCTGTGTCCATGTGTTTTTAAATCTTGTTGCTTTTGCAATGTATTGCACAGCAGCAGTTTTGCAAGGCCTGCACATAATTTGACGGCTGCAACAAGCCTTTCAGCCTGGATTGTTGCTTGTCACTCATCTTAGGAATGTTTGTAAAGGTCAGTTCCAGTAGAAATAAAGTTAAACGCAGAGCTCGATTCTTCCTTTCCCTTTCTCCCTCCCACACTCAGGTGGTTAAGGAGACGGGGCCCCCACACATGAAGAGCTTCGTCATCAAAGTTACCGTGGGTGAATTCTCGGGGGAGGGAGATGGCAAGAGCAAAAAGATAGCCAAGAAGAACGCTGCCACTGCTGTGCTGGAGGAGCTGAAGAAACTGCCCCCGCTGCCGACAGTGGAGAAAGTGCAGCCGCGCATCAAAAAGAAAACAAAGTCTATAGTCAAAGTGAGGAGGCTTTGCGCAGCTGTTATATACTGTACCGTTGTAGAAGTTTAGGGTTAGAATTGATTGCATTCCTTTTCCCAATGCAGCTTTGGACAGTAGTTTTAGCGTGAGTCACCACTGGTCTTTCACGGGCCTAAGAGAATCGAAGACATCTTGATGTAACCTCTCAGAAGTGTTGTGTGGTCAGATAGTCTTTTTTTGTGTGCGTTTGGATCCAGCCTGTGAACAGTACATTTAAACAGCAGTAGTTGTGTGAAAAAACGTAGCCTTTTGCACCAATTACACTCATTTGTTTTGCCTCACTTATTTAAGACCTCTGTGACCAACGTGTTTGTAGCAGAGTTCTCTGAGCACCAGTTTATTATGTCTCAGCGGTTGGGATGGGTAATTCAGTTTGGATTGAAACTGCACTGTTTGCTGTTTAGCTCAAAGGCAACATCCGTTATTGTAGATGTTTACACAACCATGGTGCTTGACTGAGTATAAGCTGGGACTTGGTGCTCAAGGTTCATTGCTCTTCTTCCCTGCATTCACAGCTTCAAACGAGCCCAGAGTATGGCCAGGGAATGAACCCGATCAGCAGACTAGCTCAGATCCAGCAGGCCAAGAAAGAGAAGGAGCCGGAGTACAGCCTGGTGACAGAGAGGGGCCTCCCACGTCGCAGGGAGTTCGTCATGCAGGTGTGTTCCCACCTGCTTCACTTCTTCACTTTAGTAAAGCCTTGTGTTTTCACCATTACCTGGCCTGCTGGCATTTCAAACTTAAAGTGTAAAGGAAAGAACAAATTAGGTTTTTTTTTTCCCCCTCAGTGACAGATATCAGAAGGTCCCGACAAATCTAAGCTGGGACCGTTGGCTTTTTGTCGTTGGTGATTTATTAGTTAAAACATGACAGTTTTGTTTTTTCTTCCAGGTCAAAGTTGGCAACCAGTGTTCAGAAGGCATGGGTCCCAGTAAGAAGGTAGCTAAACGCAATGCAGCGGAGAAGATGCTGGAGCTAATGGGATTTAAAGTGCCTCAGCCACAGCCCCCCAAGCCTGCTCTGAAATCTGATGAAAAGGTGAATCTTTAGAGGGGGGCCGCAGCTGTCCAATGTGGCGTTAAGTGACAGATGCATTGTTACACTAATGTCTTCTGTCACTTCTCAGATTCTCTGAAGCCTAGTATTGGTATAGTCTTTTGTGGACCATGCGGGCTCATCAGCAGTTATGAAGTAACGCTGCACAGATCGCAGGTCAAAGAAGAATAACTGAAGCTGAGGTGTAGATCACAGACTAAGCTGATTCACAACATTAGCTTAGCACAATTGCAAAGATATTTAAGAAGGAAGATGTGTGAGTTTTTGAGGAGCCAGGTAAATTGAGTGCTAGGATGTTTTAGATCAATTTGGTCTTCCACATGAAATGAAATGACTAAGCCAGTGCAGTCATTAATCTTATTTTTGCCACAAGTTATGATTTTATTGCAGTCCTCAATATATGCTTTTTCTGCCAAATTGTTCAGTTATCCACATAAAATGTTATAGACTGCTTTTTTTCCAAGGTAGTTTTGTTGTCAGATGTCTCAAAGAGTCTTAAATGTATCTGAGATGAGTTGGTGGTGAGCTGTTGGCTTGGTTGCTGCTGAAGCTGCCCTCTCCTATGCAAGGTGTCTGCTTTTTGTAGGTGCAGGCGAAGAAGGCTGGAGAAGGAAGAAAAGTGACCTTCTTTGAACCCAGTGTAGTGGAAGATGCAGGAATAGGTGAGTGATTTTTAAATGAGTTTTTCAAATGAAATTTCCATGTAGATGTTTACATATATAGTTTGCTCTCCTTGTTCTAATAACATACGAAGGGTTGCAAACAGGAGGTGCTCTGATTGCCCATTCTGCTTAGTGAGACTTTTGTGGATTCGGACACCAGTTGTTTGCCAAGACCAACAACTGGTGAAATGAAGGATCTGAAGTTTGAAGTGGCAGTAACGAGGAATTGCATTCAAGAGTGAAACTAGGAGACACTGTAATGCAGGAAGATTCTTGGCTGCCTGAAAGTCACCCATGTCGCCTACCCAGCTTTGTTCTTGAAGACGTCTGGCCTCCTCACTTCGTTTTTATGCACTAACTCTTAAACCTTTTGGCATTTTCTCTCTAGGGAGCAGGGAGGACGAGTTCCGGATGCCCTTCCTGAGCCACCAGCAGCTGCCAGCCGGGATCCTGCCCATGGTACCAGAGGTGGCCCAGGCTGTGGGTGCCAGCCAAGGACATCACGCCAAAGACTACAACCGTTCCCCTATCAACCCTGCCAAGGCCACCGTCACAGCTATGATTGCCAGGGAGCTGCTGTATGGTGGCACCTCCCCGACAGCCGAGACCATTCTAAAAGGCAGCAGCAGCCTGGGACACCTTCCTCATGGCCCCCTCACCCGGCCCTCCGAGCAGCTGGACTACTTGTCCACCGTGCAGGGACTCCAGGTATTGATGGGGCGCCACTGAGGGCAGCAACCCCCGGATCTTCATGTGTTTGAATCGAAAGCAACTTTATTTTATTTCTCTTTTCCATCATTGGTCAATTTGGTTTCTAAAGGGACTTGCTTATTGATTATCTAGGGGATCTCTGAATTAGCAAGGTGTGTTGTTGGACGTGCTCGATTCTTTGCTTGCTTTGATGTATAGTGCCATCCGAGTCACAGAGTTTGTGAAATCCTAAAATATTTGCCTCGTTTTACAGGTGGAATATAAAGACTTTCCCAAAAACAATAAGAACGAGTTTGTCTCTCTGATAAACTGCTCCTCTCAGCCCCCCCTTATCAGCCATGGAATAGGAAAAGATGTGGAATCTTGTCATGACATGGTGAGTCTCTGTCTTCATTAGCAAAATAGAAAGGCTCATCTCAAAAGAGCGACTTATCACACAATTTGTTTGACCTTGAGTCTTGGCAATGTATGTCCATCAGTGATGGCTGTTGTGGACGTTGTGATCTCTTCTGTCCAGTCTGTACTTCCTCCAGTATCTTCTCAGGTTATGTGAGCTCTTTCTTGACTGCTCCTTTCCACAGTAAAACGTTTAGAAAAACCTTTTTTGCAACTATTACTTAAGTCTCTCATTTTGTACTCTGGGAGAGTCTGGAGTTAGAGGTGCTATTTGAGCAGAGTATTTGATGTATTAAAGAAATCATAATGTAGTCATAAATCATAATTCTGAAATAATAGGACATTTTTCAGAATTTTTTGGGGTACATTCTGTAATCCCACTTTGGTATTGGAGAGTGTTGGAGAGCAGATAAATGCTTTTGCAGGATGCAGAAGAGGAAGAGACAGATTGCAAACCCTTATTATAATTATTACAGCTTCAAGGGCACTGCAGAAATGTGTTAAAAGTCCGAACATTTCTAAATAGACTTAATAAGCTCCTTCTATTGAATAATAATTCATCCTTATTATTCCCAGGCTGCCCTGAATATATTGAAGTTACTGTCAGAGCTGGACCAACAATCTAATGACAGAACTGGAAATGGACCAATTTCAGTGTGAGTTGAGTTTGACCTTTGTGCTGTATTTTAAAGCCTGGAATGTGCATGAATAAATATAAAAGAACCATCCTGCCCAACACATTAACAATGGGTTCATTCATACCAGTTTCACAAATGTCAACCTCCGTTTCAGGAATTCCCTTCATTTATTAATGTGCACTTGTGGGAAAGAATGTTTAGAAAGTTGAAACTAGAAACCACATTTCTAGTGCCAAGGGTTCACCCAGCAGCAGTACATGGCAACACTGGGATTAGTAGAGACACCACTCTTCACTTTTAGCCCTCGAGTTGTGCCTTAAAGCTGCGAGCCCAGGGCAGAGCTACTCAACCTGTGGCCCCCCAGTACACTCCAGTGAGCGGTGCTGCTGCGTCCCGTGCTTTAACTATTTCACAATAAAGTACTGCGTCGGAGCAAACTGAAAACTCCACCTATTGAGTTGCCCTGGCCTAGGACGTTAACAGTTGGATGCAGCTACTTAAGATGTGAAAGGATAGGACAATGACATCTTCCAGAGGACAAGAATGTGGTCTACTCCTTTCCTTTACCTGGATGAGGGTAGTATTGAAAAGCTAAGGTGGATTAATGGGAAGCATGGTGGCACAATGTTTAGTATTGCTGCTGTGCAGTTCTGGGGCCCTGGATTCAATTCCTGGGGAACTGTCTATGTGGAGTTTGTATGTTCTTCCTGTATTTGCATGGGTTTCCTCCCACTGTCCAAAGACTGGTAGGTTAATTGGCTTCTAGGAAAATTTTACCTGATGTGTGTGACCTGTGATAGACTCGTGTCCTGTCCAGGGTGTACCCTGCCTTGTGTCTGTCGCTTGTCTGGCTCTCCTGCAACCCCGTATTAATAAAGCAGTTAGAAAATGGACGGGTGGTTGATGATCTTGTAATCCCCCCCAGAAAAGGCTTGGATTGTTTCAAAGAAAAAAGATATATCAATTTTTAATTAAGCTTCATTTGAAAAGGCTGAGATTTCCTACAAGAAATAATGCATTTTTTTCTTCAACGCTTTGAGTTCATATTGATGGATAAAAGTTGCTTTCCGCCCGTCTAATGTCTACATTTTTCCCCCTAGATGTGGAAAACAAGAAATGGAAGGTGATGCTCTTCTGAAACAGGCTAACTCAAACACCATGGGACAAACTCTGGATGGCACAGCATAGATGGCCTTTAAATAAAGGGGAAAAAAGCACCAGAGAAAATCAGATGCTTTGTAGCGTAACTCAACTGTTTTAGAGGGCTACAGTTATAGTTTAGCCACTGTAGTGTCTAAATCATCAAGTTGCTAATACTTTTGAAATGTTCACAGTTAAACAAGACTGATTAAAAGGTTCATTTTCCTTAATGTTTAATTGTATACATTTTGTTTTGTAGGAATGTAGTTTTTTTTTAAAAAAAGTGCTGGATCATATCCAAGTATGTGGTTTTTCTGTTTTGGTGGAAGAGAGAACCATTTTGAATGTTTAGTTTTCTTTTTTTTTTGTTTTTCCCCTCTAAATCAATTTTAACCCCATTGTTAACTTAAAAGGGGGCGTTCTGTTTGTGAATATTGAGAACAGTTGGAGAACTTCATGGATGGATATGATAAAGCTAACAAAATGCAGTTGATTTTCCTTGAGTGCTTTGAAAAAAGTGTTTATCTACATTTCCATGTAGGGCTGAAAAGGTTTTTGTGATTTAATGTAATGTTTGTGTTGTCATGTGTTTGTTGCCTGCAGCAATGTGGGCAATAAAAAGTTTCTATTGCATATGGTCCAAGCACGATACCCCCCTGCAGAGTTCTTGTAATGCTTCAAACTTGTCATTGTTAACCATGAACTTTTTTCTCCCCATGGAATGTAAGTAAAACGTGTGCTTTTACGCACAAAAAAAAGTGTTTGGTTTTGCTTTCTTGCAATACCTTTCAATCCTCCTGCTTGGGTTCAAAACCATCAAAGAGCAGCTTTGTTAAGTTTTGTACTTTCCTTGGGTATAGAAATAGGGCTTACCTTGGGAAATTGGGTACAGCTACATTTTTGGTATACTTTTCCTGGACTGCAGGGCATTGAAAAATACTCACATCATTGCCATAATGGTTTGATTTCTGACAATTCTGGGAATTCCTTGGCTTGAATGGGAATCCAGACCCCATAATGTTTTTTTTCATGTTTGCAAGTGATAGAATGTGAATACAGAAGAATGTGGACTTGGTATTCCTGATACTATTAAAGATTATAGCAGACTAATATTAAAAGGCTAATGTTTCTTTTGGCTTGTATAAATGTCTGGTACAGGACAGGTTTTGGACTTGGTTATCAACCAGTTGCTTCTGTACATGAGCATAGCTCAAACCTTGTTTTACATTTTCTGAACTTATCCCGGACTATTGCGGTTGATGTATGAAAGTCATACTCAACTCTATGGCTCGAGAGCTAAAAGAATGATTCCCAGTTTTTTTTCCTTGTTCTGCAACAGTAGCAGTGTTTTAAAGATAGTGGTTTAAAGATATAATCCAGCAGGTCACCGTTTTATCATCAGTTTAGGAAAGCATGGAATTTAGTTTTGATAAATTCAGTAAGCTGTAAACAGCCAACAGTGGTCCTGTTTTAGAACATTGGCATTTTCATTGCAAATGATCTCTACACTGTGTAATTGACCAGATGGCTGCAGTGGTCAAAATGGAACTGTTCCAAGTGAGGGAAATTGTGGTGTCACGGGTAATGTGTAGCACCTACTGGACAGTGACTCCCTGCCCAGGTAAGTAGGTGATCAGCCATGAAATGGCCATGTGGTATCAATAGGTGTGAAGCCTGGCTCAAACCTAATTTGAGTTAGGAACTATGCATCATTTCTCAACTATTTTTACTGCTTGAGTAGGCTGCTATATTAATGTGTGCTTGGATTGTCTGTAAGTAATAACAGAAAAAAAAAACTTTAAACAATTGTTTATTCGCATATTGGGAAATGAGGATTCCTAGACAATGGAAATAAATGTAGAAAAGAAAATACTAGAGCAGTTCTGTAAAAGCTACCCTTTTTAATTAAGAATATACTTCACTCAGAAGAGGCAATATGGCATAGTAGAAAGTACTGCATATCACAGGAGTATAGAATCTATTAGCTGAGAATTTATGCTCACATAGCATCTATGAAACATCAAAATGTAATATACCAGTGTGGAACAATTGATGGAATTGTATTCATAGTCGTAGGTGAAAATATTCTCTGACATGGATTATAGGCAGGTTACATTGTAGTATTTAAGTACTTCATTTTGCTCCTCTACTTTCAGAGATGTTACAACAATTTAAAATTACATTGATCACTGGCTCGCATTAACAAAAACAAGGTCCAAAAGGAAGCAAGTCCTCAATAACCACTCATCTTGGCACTTCACTCCCCCTCTTGATCCTGAAACAAGACAAAAGATTACATTGTAAAAAAACTGCAGTTAAGTGCTCCTTGCTTCCAAAGACTAACTTCCATAATTTAACTATACATGAGGCTTGAACCTCAGGTAAAATATCCAACAAATCCTGCAGTGTTAAGGCACTTGGTTCCTGCGACACAGACCTCTCAAAGTTGGAAATGTTAACCATTACCAGCAACAAAATTTAATGAACTACACAAGTTACACAATGCATTATTCTGCTGCTAATGTGTCAGACATGTTTGGCTTTAATGCATTCAGCAGTCAACACAGTCGATCTGCTGGGGAAAAAAGATCAGTCATCATTCACAGCAGCTGCAGTCTCCCAAACCAGCTCGACTCTACTCCCCAATGAGCATTTTAAACAAGAACATTAGTTTACTTACATTAGCACCACACGCTTCACTGATACCATTCCAAATTCTGCAGCAGTCTCACCCTTGAGATTGACACCATCACTCGTCCCCTGCAAAAAGAGCATCCTCTTTAGCCATTTAAAACAGCACTTCATGTACAGGTCTTTCTAAAATGTACTGGTGCATCAGTTAAGTTGGCTTTAAAATAGCAAGCAGTCATCACTGTCGATCTGCTGGGGAAAAAAGATCAGTCATCACAGACACCAGCCTTCTACTTCTGCACAAACAAATTTTAGCAACAATCTAAAATACTTACACCAACTGTGCAGAAAATTACGATTCCACCAGTGCCAACAGTGATTGTGTATCTGCATACAACCCCTGGTATCTCCATGGTACCACCATATCTCCAGCACACAGACCTGCAAAGAAAGAAGCAGTTTCTTCAGAAATGGGAAAAAGCACTTTGCAAAGTGTTCATTGTTTAAGCTGGTGAATCAGACAAATTTGGCTTAAAATAGCAGACAGTCAACAAAGTCGATCTGCTGGGGAAAAAAGATAGTCATCATATTCACCAGACCCAAAATCATCAGACAGCCAGTAAATCTAAGAAAATTCCCCTCAAGTGCCAAGGCAGCTATCAGGAATGAAGATCTGAATAACTGATAAAATGTGCAAGTTAACAGTAAGTACACTAGATCCAATTTCTCACTGTACATCATCTGTAAGTCTTGCCAATAGTACAGATGGTATTCTGAGGAAACAACCTTTGCAATAATGACTTGATCCATTTAGTTTTAGAAGCTGAAGTCTATTGTGAAAATGGTTCAAGAACTAGTCAACAGATCTATTGGCGTGCCTTTACAAATTTACTCAAGGCATCTAAAACACTTGAAGCAGCTGACAGTCAGTAACTGGTGCTCAAGCTGTATTTTAGTAATGAGTGACACCTAAAACAAAGGTGACACTTTTATCAATTTACAATGGAACACAGAATGGGGACATGTTAAATTTAAGACTGCATGTTTGTCCCACCACTTTTTTGCAGTTTTTTTTTTAAGTTGTGAATCAGACTATAATATAAAGCACTGAGGCAAAGCCAGACAAAAAAGTACAGGGAAGTTAAAGGAACATTAAGCTAGACCCGATTCACATCAAGTTACTCCATCACACCAAGGCTAGCTACCCTGCTACCCCTCCTCATGTGAAAAGAAGCTAAACCATCTTGGTTTTTAAGAACAATCAAATTATTCTCCCTTCTTTATACATACCTTGAGACACGCGTGCTGGTAGCAGAACTCCTCACGTCACTGCGGGAAACCAGAAAAGACAGATCAGACTGGGAGGAATCACTCACCAGAATTCCGCAGATGTGTTTTTTTGCTGGTCAATCAGAACATTTGGCTTACAGTGCAAAAGAGTCAACACTATCGATCTGCTGGGGAAAAAAGCTTAGTCATCATACTTGTACCAGCAAGCACACAAATGGAAAGGACTGTACCAACTCGTGGGTGTCTAAAGTAGTCTGTATAGGATGATCTCGCATTTGTGAAGACAAGTAATTTTGGGGAAAAAAAAACCACTTACTTAGAATGTGACCAAAGCCACTGCCACTTCTGTTCGCAGTCATGTTGCACTCAGATCTCTTACACACCTCAAGGCTAAAGGGAACCCTGCAGGGCAACATCAAACCGTATTACACAAAAAGTACTTTAAAAAATAAAACAAGTCTGACGAGGTGGAACAGGGGCTATTTCACAGAGAAAAGCTTATCACTACAACTATCTGACTGACTAAGAAAGTCAGAGTAATAATACTATAGTACTAAATCTTTACTCTGGATACCTTAAATTCATTGGGAATACTGAGTAAGGGACATATACATGTGCAGATCACAACTATTTGTACATGCTTTTGTTGAAGTATGAGAATGATGAGGATAATGCAACAAGAGTAACAAGACTGAAAGTATGAAAGCCCCAGTCATTGCTACTCCAAGTAACCTCCTTAAGTAAGCACATTCTTATACGACTTCCAGAATCTAGTTACAGACCATATCTGCCATTTTAGATAAGATCACTTTACTGGCCATATACAATGTCTTGTATTCCAAACTTGTCTTTATTTACATACTCCAAAGACAAGGAGAGAAGCTTGGGGTCAGAGCACAGGGTCAGCCATTTACACGGCACCCCTGGAGCAGTTGGGGTTAGGGTCCTTGCCTGAGCCCAACAGAGTAGGATTCCTCAGGATACAAACCAGCAACCTTCCAGCTACAGATGCAGATCTTTAGCCACAGAACCGATCATTGCAATATTTATATAACATGAACCTTGGATTTTAATCATATTATACACTAAAAAGATATGAAGGACAAAGGCTGCCCATTCACAGTACAGCATAGTAATAGGTCACTTTAGTCTATATAAATTGGAGATTTTACACATTAGTGTGTGCATTTTACTTTCACTATGGTTTGAAATGCCCTTGTTTTCTAACCAGGAAATTTAAAAACAGCGCTGCAGTTCTTTAACCGGCATTTACATCTTCCAAAAACATGCTATGAGCTGCGTTTCGCAACGTTCATAGACAACTGCCCAGTACTACCGACACAAAAACGAGGCCTTAGACTGACGTTCATTTATATGACCTCTTCAAAGTAAACTTCCGATGGTCTGGAAGCCTATACGGTTATCAGAAATTGCTCTTGCGGATTAGCGGGGTATTTTTTTTTATTTGCGCACGTCTGGTGCATTTTTTAAGAATATTTAATTGAGAAACAGCCCATTTTTCTACTTGTTAAACTGTGTACATGCGATGAAGGGGCTCTTGAAAGAAACATGTCAATTGTATCCCCCTGATGCTACTATAACGTTATTTATACGTTTACAATTAACATTCCTACGTTGCAAGTATATTCACTCGGGGGGTTGTCCTTTTTCAGTGATGATACGGTAAGAAAACAGTCCTGACCCGAGGCGATCGGCCAGAAATGTAAGCAGACATTTCAAACGCACTAGGCGCTTAAATTCCACGTGGTACCGAACCGTAGAAGTAGGAAACTGACAACCCCCCAGACAAGAGAGGCACAATTTCAAATTCCAGTTAAAACGTTTAATTAATCTTACCCTCGCTGGTTGATGTCTGAAGTGTGACCATGTCACACCACCAAGAAGCGCTAGAAGAAAAGACAAATGGGGAGCACAACTATTAAAACCAACACAAACAGGAGATCCGGGTGGTGTCAAACAATTGTTTTAAAAGAAGTCAATTTTCATGCTAAAGACGACCCAAAACTAAAGCCAGTTTACAACACCCGAACTGCGCACGTGTTCAGATTTTGCATTTTCAACAAACTCGTTATTATTAACCCTGCTGCTGTAAGCAAATAAAACATGCAACGCCATTACCGCACAGAACCGATACATTCATACAAGTCATTAATAGATGCTTCCCAGAAGTACAACACCACGTGCAGAATGCCTCAAAATGTAAAAAAGTAACTTTAAACATATCTTGCAAGACTTCGCTTTCCGGCACAACCCATCGAATAAAATAACACGTAAAAAATCACATGACGTGTAAAAGAATGATGGCAAATGGATAACGCACGCCACACTACCTTCCCTCACCGAAGACCACGAAGGAAAGAAAGATCTAGGGTCGCCAAGAGGTTTTTAAAGAAGACGGCGCTCGCATTTGACGCAATCGCACAGCGGGATTCGCACTGATGGACGGGAAATGTAGTACGGCTGCAGCCTGCTGGCGAAGGTACGCCAATAACAACTGTATCCTGTACTGGTGAGTTGGTCCCACAGATGTTCTTATGGACAAGACTTAGAAGAAAACATTGTCCAAGGCACGATCTTGGCTTTGTTTTAGTAAAGTTGTGCCATGTTACTCCTACGAACTGTATATTCTTACATTATCCTACTACAATATAGGTTAGCAGAAACTGAGACTGAGCCCATGGATTTTTTCCATGTATTGATAGCTGTAAGGTTGCCCTTAAGCTGCCTCAGAGGCGTTACTGTGTTGAAAGAGATTCCACCCCTACATCACCACTTTAGCAATTCTCTCTGCCAGACACCCCAGAAATTTCTGTCTCTCTCTGAACAGTTATCTCTGAACAGCCTTTGGGCATTTAGATTATGTTCATGCTAGATGAGGACACAGTCTGTTCTGCTGATGGGGGTAATATATTTCTTGAATTTCTTAAGGCGCAGCCTCTTCCGTCTGAAAATGAGTTTTTAGAGAGTCCATGGCGATAAAAGCCCCTGGGGTTACTCCCAGGAACCTGCCCCTCACAGAGCTGGTTTCCTGGTTTCTCCAGCCCAGTCTGCTGAGCGTAGTAAGATGCTACATATGTTCTATGAGTCGGTGGTAGCGAGCGCCATTTTCTACGCAGTGGTATGCTGGGGCCCTGGGATTAGAGCAGTGGATTCTAAAAGGCTGAACAAGCTCATCAGGAGAGCAAGCTCTGTCATTGGGTCTGACCTGGACCCCTTGGAGGTAGTGGCTGAGAGGAGAATGGTGTCCAAACTAGAGGCCATCATGGACAACATCTCCCATCCCCTCTATGACAGGCTTGTAGAAATGAAGAGCACGTTCAGCAATAGACTGATTCATCCACGGTGCGTCAGGGAGCGCTACAGGAGGTCATTCTTGCCTTCTGCCATAAGAAGAAGATTCTGTGCATCCACCTTGTGTCTGGGCAGAGGCAACATTGACAGTGACCTGTTTCTGGACTGAACACATCTACACATCTACTGCTACACCTGTTCTCTTTCTTTTCCTGTTTACAACCGTTTTTTGTGCAATATATGCCAGGGACCCGTGCAATACATTTATGTATAAGCAATACATTTATATTTATATTTAGTCATTTGTCATTTAGTCATTTATATTTATCTATTCACACCTGAAGAAGGCTCCACAGCCAAAACGTTGTGTTCTCTTTCTTCTTTTTTTCAGCATGGAATAAACCTATTACTTGTTCCTTTGCAGCCTACGCATGCTGATGCAGTTCCCCACCTGAACTACTACATTTATATTTATATCTTTATCTATATTTACATCTATATTTATATTCATATGTGTGATACGATTTTTCTGTGTACTGTTCTGTTCTAGTTTGTTCTTTGTGTGTCCGGACTGTGAGTAGCTCTTTTAGTGCACCCCTCACTGTACTGATTGTATTGTACTATTATTATTATTGTATAATTCGTTACATTGTGGCTGTGTTGTCTGTGTAAAGCTGCTGTTGCAGTGCAATTTCCCTCCCGGGATCAATAAAGTATCTATCTATCTAAACCAGAACATTTCATCTTCTCACAGACAGGCCACTCTCACTATCAACAAGCAGCTAGGTGGTCTTCAACACCCAGGTACATCAAACCAACTGCTGTTCTTGTGTTAAATACTATGTTGTCATTCACGTTACTTATATGGATTTTTAATCAGCTAATTTTGTTCAATTTATTAACTCAAATACATCATTCTGAATGCCTAATTGTTTTAATTTTTTTAATCAAATGACTAAGCTCATTATTTTAATTACCCCAAGAAACAGACTGTTTAAAACAGTAATCAAATATATCGGCTTTGTATGTAAAATGTAAATAATATTGTCCATGTGGCCAATGAGCTCTAATGTTCAATTTATTGTGTTTTTGTCATGCATTAGTATATATTTTTTCAGGGATTATGGATATACAGTATATGTATATGTCTTTTTTAATTCTGAAATTATTTCTACCTGTGATTTTGAATTGAACATAAATGTTATGTTCAACAGAAGTATGCCTTGTCTGTGTGCTCAGTATGTTTCTTTTAAATATCTGTACCTTAAGTAAGTTAAGTCATTCTTTTCATGGATGGTTGACTGTGATGAGGTTCCATAGACTGACAATCGCTGACCTGGTTTTTGGAGACTGTTCAGGGATGGAACTACAGAGGGCGCTACACGCACAGTTTACCCTTTGAAGTAAAATTGTATTTGTTGTTTCCTCAGGGTATTAGAAATTCACCACGACACAATTACTGCACTCCAAGGCTTGAAGGAAAGCAAACTCAAGAAAAGTTGGTATGAAGCTCAGCCTACAAGAAGTCAACTTCAGTAAATTAATTGAGCCTGGCACCACAGAAAATCCACCCATTTGTAATATGACAGGAAATCAGAGTAGAGGAGTCTATTGCCATACATATACATATACAATACATATTGACATTAGTATTGTCAGATAATAGACCATTTAAACAAAATCTACTGACATAAGCGGTTGTACACAAGATAGATACCCTTGTATGGTCTTACAAAGAATGCTTGCCAATCAGAAAGGCTTCTCAGCATCTAATCACATTCCTCCCTTATTTGGAAGTCCTCTCCTTCTGCCAGAAGTCCAGAGTGTTCCCATGGCAACATACGCTGATCACTGCACTAACTGGTCGAAATATTTTGGTGTCTTTTCAGGAATTTGTATTCTCAATGTGCTCTTTGTAAGGCCAAGTAACTAACAGCCTTGCTGTTATGAGGTGCAAATAAACAGATACAAAGTCGGAAATGTGTGTAGAATGGTGAAACAAGGTCAACCATGGGTTGGTGATAACCATTGGTGATATAGTTAAAAACATAGAATTTACATCAGGGGAAGTAAAGATAAAATTACATGATGCAGTTTAATCCATTAGCTAGACCTCACTTTGAGTCTTACATGGTTTTGGTCACCTTGTTATGAGAAAGATTTTGTTTTTCCAGGGGTTATCTGAAAAAAGGCAACCAGCGTAAATTCCTTTGGTGTGAAAGGAATAACTAACTTAGACACAGGGGAAGGGGACAGCAGATTCCTAGCCCTTAATGAGTAAGTATTTCACTCAGGTGTTTACCAAGAAAAACACTGACAGCACGCCTCAGGGTGAGCTAAGACCATGTTCAGCTGAGGAGGCTTTCTAAAAATCAGTAGCAACACAAGAACCCAGGGACACAAGCAGAAATCAAACCTATGAAGACTGGAGAGAGAAAACAGGCGATGCTTCTTTACACAGAGGATTGTAGGAGAATGGAACCAATCACCTTATTAGTGCTCTAAAGCTGACTCTGTGGCGTCTTTTAATTGATGGTCTACTACTGCAGTTTGAATAACCAATAGGCTCCTCTTGTTTGCAACCTTTTTCATGTTCTTAGAAATATTTTTATGTGCTGTGAAATTAGACACATTGCTATACCTTATCTGCCTTGAAACCCAGAAGGCTTTATCAGCATGATGCATATCTATTATATTTAATGTTTTTTATGTATTCTCAGGCTGTGATCCATTCAATGCACTCCTTAAAAGAATGGTGTTTTGATCATATAATTTTCATTTCCAGTAACACTGTTTAATTTTTTAATGATGGATTGGACCTGATCATTATTAAGATCAATATTCCTAATACCAGCCATGAATTAACACATTTAATTCACATTTGTTTCATCAATTCCCACATATTTTGTGGAGGCTGTTAATAGTGATTATCGTATGCAACAAGAAGGACATACATTTATGCTTCAGTAATAATACAAGTTTATACTGAAAGGGCTCTGTGTTATGGTCCTTCTTAAGAACAGGCAGTGATTATATGAATATTATATATGAATAGGTTGAGGTACGGAAATATCATGCAAAATGCTTGATTTGGAGAAATCAAGTGTTATAACTGGTATTTTATCACTCTCTCCCACTATCATTATTGCTGCATGAATGCCGATTTCTGGAATTAAATTAATCCACTCTTTTCACTTGCTTGCTCAGAAACTGCAACTCAGACTGCCAGCATAAAACAACAAAACTTAAAAACCGGGCTGAGCCATAAAAACATAGACTCACATCTCCAGTAATGGAGTCCTGAAACAATCTCCCACTTTCAGACAATTAAAGGAGAAGAATATTATATTTCTACACACTGGAAAGAAAAAAATCCCCCAGTTGCTGTTTAATACAGTTGGTTTAGAACCTTAAACCAAAACCTTAAAGTCAAAACCTTTATACATGAGGATATGCAGTATACAGGTGACCATATCACTGCAATCAGCTCAGTATAGAAATGTTGTTAAATTTATTCTTTTAGGAATAAAACCAGCATTCTGTCACAAGTTTGCAGTAAGTTTTTAATTTTTTTTTTAAATTGATTCACAAGGGACCTCCAGTCTCTGACTGCATGGAAACACGTTTAAGAACCAGGAAGAAATCCAATCAAACTTCAAATGTTATGTCTGAAACTTACATCAACATCAGTCTTGTAAACAGGGATGTCAAGGTTAAACTCTTTATCGGTAATGTGTAGGCAGATTAGCATGTCTGGTGCCAGTCTGTGGGTTTGGTTTAATGTGATAGTCTGCAAATCCTTTCTTGTAAGAGAATCTCAAGGTTTTCCAGCTCTGACAATGCAGAGCTCCAGTCTTGGTGCCTGCTGATTTTAGGCCTGCATGAGATTTCAATTGCTTGCTCTTAAACTATTACATTGCTTAATGAGGTCTTGTTATGAAGCGATACAATGGGGAGACCTGGATAGTGTCAGCATGTCCAGCGTTCAACGCAATGGGGAAGTTTGCTGAGATGTAATGGTCTCAGATTTGGTGATCAAAGCAACTGTGAAATATACCTTGGTTTTCCATAGCTAATTAAGTTCAGGGTAGAAAATGAAGTGTCATTCAACAGTCCAGAAAGACACTGTGAAAGAGGCAGGTACAGAAGAAGATGGGAGGAAGACACGAGGCAAGAGAGAGATGGGTGAGAAAGAGAGCTCCTTGTGATCACCCAGGAAGACCGGATTGGAGCTCAATCTTTGACCCTTGTCAAATGAGCCTGTTATATTACAGAACTGATTTCCCACCTACAGAATCCCTTGGTTAAAAAACGGCCTCTCCTGGTTGTGGGTCCGTTCATTTTGTGGCATCCAGGTTTGAAGAGAGACAGATTTAACTGCAGGTTGCATTCTGTTTGGTTTAGAAGGCAGCTTGCTCTTCTTTTGGCCTCTGTAGGCGTTCTATAAGAGTTTGAGTAGCTGTTAACAGTCTGGGGTTCTCCTGGGTGATTAGGATGTTAGGCCTCTGTCACATCTCATTTGAAAGTTTGTACACAGGGTAACTTGTTGTGTTGTATGTTTATGTTGTATGTACTGTAGCTTAGTGTGTGTATTGTCACTGTTAATGTTTGTTTAACCCAGAGGGTCTGAATTACTATTCTTTTCACCAAAGCTGTGTCAGAGAACTGTGTGCCTCTAACTATACAAATCTCTCAGATGTATTCTTGGGAAAAGTCATTTACAAGTTGGAAATTATGATGATTATTAATTTTTTAATGGATTTATCTGCTCTGTCATTTTCTGGTTTTCTCCATCCATTTGTAACAATATTATCTGTTGTTTTTTTAACCGGTTCTGAAAACGCTGTGACATCCTAGCAGGATTGTTACAATTGAACAAAAACGGCTCTGTATTTTTTAAGACAATCAGACATCTCACCCCTAATGTATATTGTATATAATGTAATGTATACCACAATAATCACATCACCAGCCTTATTTTTACTGTCCGGAGCAACGCCTAAGATGCAGCGTGGTAATATTATATTATTAGTGTGGCAAAGAAGCGGACAACCTTTCTCCTTATAAACGCCAAGCAAACGTTACTTACACAGCGAAACTGGAAGAGGTGCTGTCTCTTTAAACGTGTTGGGGTTGTAATTTACAGTTCGAGTGCGAAAGGTTAACTCACCATATTACTCACCAGTTACAGTACAATTCTTTGTCAGCGCTCTAAGACAGAAGGTAACATATTTGCTGACGTCCACTTTTCCAATTTTAATGAGGGAGTCGGATTTGCTCTAGCTGTTCTGATTTTCAGACACAGGTGGACAGTGCTGTCCGGACACTTGTTTAAACAGAGATATTATGTTGCGTTTCAGAGGAGCCATCGGAATAAAACTGATCTCTGTGTTTCGGTAAAATAAGCGATGCACAAAAAATGTCAGCGTTATCAGAGAGCAAAATGAATACTTACAGTATGTTCAAAGGAAATAGTGGTCAAAACAAAGTAACACAGGTGCTTCAGGAACTAAGAGCGCAAGTAAACTAAGAGGTAGCCCTGGCTACACTGTCTCAAGTGTAACTTGACTTTGTTTCTTCATTTTTTTTTTTTGGTTTAAGGTTTATTTTTGTCATTTAGATTCGTTGACAGAAATGGCATTCCGAGAGTTAGCGTTCATGCTTTGCGCCGCTGAGCTGTGGCTACAGAGCCCCAGCTGCGAAGGAGGGTGTGTGGACTCCGGCTTGTGCTGTACCGGCAGGGACCCCTCCTGCGTCAGTATGGGATGGAGACCCGACAGGTCGTACGGGAGCTGCTACTGTGACCAGGCGTGTACATCAGCCCTGGACTGCTGCCACGACTACCAGCAAGCCTGCCCAGGTAATGTAATGTGCCGGGAGAGGCACGGAAAGAAAAAGTAGACATATATGTATCTATAAAATGAAGGCTATAGTTCAAAAGTATGGAAGCAAGTGTTTTCGCTACTAAAGAGGCTATTTTCTTTGGGGGGTGTTTCATATTCATTTCGCTTCTCTTTGCTCTGCACTCTCCGCTTTGCATCAATGTTTGAACAGTCCTTGCAGGCAGTGTTGAGTCGGAGAAGAACTAAATACAGTGTTGCAGTAAACACAATAAGCGTGTGCCTATTTACTCATTGTCACAACTCGAGTCCATCTACTCATTTTCAAGAACTGCTTGGTACAGTACAGGACTGCAGTGGTCCAGTACAGCCTAACCCTGCAGATAATTGGCACAAGGCGGGATTCACTGTGGGTGAGACTCCAGGGCACGTGTATTAGAGGCAATATAGAGACATCAATTTCTCTGTGAGTGGAAAAGCCAAGCAGCCACAAAGATACCACGCAAACTCCACACAGATGGTGCAGAGTTGGAAGACTGAAAAACCAAAACGAGTGAACAACAACACTAATAATAATAATAATAATAATAATAATAATAATAATAATAATGAGGTATTTACTTGTATTTTCTTCACACAGTACTCTGGTACTTTGCAGGTGTGCTGATTGCATTCACCATCAATTAGCAATCCACCTACAAGCATATTTAGTGACATATTATTGAAGACAGAGATGTGAGCAATTCTGTAATTAAACTATTTGGGAAATTGAATTAAGCCAGATTCAGAGCTGGACTTTAGCCAGAACACAGAGGTTAGACCCCTAATGCTGTCAGGTGATGCCATAAAAACTTTAATTCCCATAACATGACTGGAGATACTGGAAGACAGCACTGTGGACTAGTGGTCAGGGCTCTGGACTTGGCAGTAAGTGAGAGTTTATGAGTAGGACAGTGATGTTGTACCCTTGGGTGAGGTGCTGCACTCAGAGAGCACCTGGAAAGAAACACCCTGCTTCATAAGTGGGTACTCATGTCTTTGTTTTCATTACTCCAAAACTATAGTTTAAGAGTTATTTTCTTCTGGAGTATTATACCATAACTTAGCCACCTAACTAGACATACTGTACCTATTACCAATTGTTTGGAATCTGGCCCACATTGTGTCTCCCAATAGTATATCAAAATACACATTCAATATTCTTGCCGCAAATACACCAAATATCCTTAGGGATATGTTCCCAGAATAAGTAAAGGTTAATCAGTGCCATGACATCTTCAGTGATCAAGTAGCTACAGTAGGACTTTGTGGCTAATGTCTCATCTGAAAGATGGCACCCCCTATTATGTGGTTTCCGGGGCCTTGTTTTGGGAATTCTGGCCCAGAGGGAGAAAGCCTAGACCACGGACTTGTTGATCTTCTGACATCAGCCTGGAAGGTGGCGGTGTGGCCAGCGACGGCACTGATTTCTTTCGTCCTCCCCCTGTTTTAGCTGCTTCCTGCGCGGTCGGCGAGTGGAGTGTGTGGTCAGGCTGCGCCGAGGCCTGCCAGGTCACCTACCGCGTGCGGATGAGGCGCGTGGTCCGGGAGCCGCGGAACGGCGGGGTGCCGTGTCCTCCTCTCCAGGAGCGCGCCGGCTGTGTGGACTACTGGCCTCCCCACAGAGAGTGTCTCCCGTCCTTGAGTGAGGCTTCCGTCAACACTTGCTATAGGTTTAAAAGAAAGTTAAAAGTCAAAAGTTAAGTACATGACTAGGGGAGCAGGGATTATACACTCTTTTTAGCCTTCGAACTATTAAGCTATGAAGATGACTGATTGCATTCCTGCAGCAGAGCTGTGTCTTTGGCACTGTTGTCGCTCTGATGGCACATTCATCCACCTCCGTGGTCAGGGTAGAAGTGTCTTTGGCTTGCGTTTTTCCCGGAACTGTTGGTTAGCATTGTGGTCTCGCAGTGCTGGGACCTTGGGTTCAATTCCAGAACTGTCTGTGTGTGTGGAGTCTGTATGTTCTTCCTGTGTCCACGTGGGTTTCCTTCAGGTACTCCGGTTCCCTCCCACAGTCCAATGACATACTAGTGGGTTAATTGGCTTGCGGGGAAACAGGTCTTGGTATGAGTTTGTGCGTGTCTGTGTTTGTTTGTATCTGTGTGTGTCTGCGTGTGCCCTGTGATGGACTGGCATCCCATCCAGGGTCTATCCAGCCTCTTGCCCAGTGCTTGCTGGGATAGGTTTTGGCTGCCCTGCGACCCTGTATTGCATAAAGCAGTTAGAAAATCTAATGGATGTAAGTGATGTCATTCAGACTGCAACACCATAAAGTCAGAAATTCTTGCCGCAAAAATACGGTATCTTAACATTTAAGGATGTGGCAGTTGTAGTTTAATGTGTAAAAATACCAAACGTTTCAACAATACATTATATTTCTTGTACTGTATTTTTCAAAATCTGTTATTTTCCCTTCCACTCATTGGTCATTGGTCTGAGAAAAAAATATGTTTGCAGTCACGCCTGCATCCCCCAACACACACACAACTGTTTACACTTGTAACTGGATCAAGAGAATAATATTCTCCTCTCCATTATTTCATGTACTTCTGCCTTTAGTCAGATCTGGCAACCCATCTCTTGTAATTAACCTCCCGTGCCACCAGAAACCCGCAAGTAAGATTTTAATTACCTGTTTTATTGATCATCCCCAGTTCCTGCATTAATCACCACGGGTGGTTTTGGGAAAGCCAGGAAGAAGAGAGACTTGGCTAGCAGCAAGGACATCACTGGGTGGGTTTCTTCAACTACTGACCTCAGAAAAAAGCTTCCACCCAAGACAATGAGATAATTCATTCCTAAATTACACAGACTCACGACATGAAAGCTGGATACTTACAATTGTCTCTTTCCTTGCCTACTAACAGTGCCAAACCATTTATAGGACTCACCAATAGCAAGACATTGAAAATAAGACTTTGTCCTGAATTGATGTAAATGGTTAAATAAAGAATTATGTGAAATGTAATATAGCTGAGCAAAATGGACCTCAGATGCCTTTTCCCAATGTAATTTTTCTTATCTTTTAATGCTGAATGTCTAATGCACATGATTTTGTACATTCAATATATCTGAAATCAAAGCAACGCAACTGAGCATTTTGAAAACATTTAAAAATAGGAATGTCAATATAGGGGTTGATTGATACTAATACTTTTGAAGACTTTAATACACTACAAATCAAGTTAATTTAAGAAACTGTAGCTTGTTCCACACTCTCACAACCCTTTGTGTAAGGGGTAAACAGGACACTGAGAGTGCCTCACTAAAGGTATCATTAACTCTCTTCCACCGAAGGTACTGTGTGGAGTTCCAGCTGATGTCCCTCACTGCTGGCTGTCAGTACACCACTGGGCCCCACACATACTGGATGCGGTACCTCCGTGAGGGCCACATTGTCTGTGTGGAGTGCCAGCCTCCTGCCCTTGGCAACCAGCATCGGCGCTGCCATGGCGATGGGGAAGAGGCAGAAAGGTGAGCGTGCAGGCCTGAAACACATCCATTGCAGCTGGCTGGTCACTGAACACGCTGAGCAGCAAGAGAAACTTACCTGTCCATGTACAGCATGTTTTTAGGAGAACTAAGAACAATCTAAGAATATATCATTTGGAAATTGACGGAACGTTTTGTGGCGTCGTTTTGATTATTTGACCCTTCATGACTGACCACTGACCACGGTTCACTCACTTGACAGCGCACTGTTGCCTCGGCACTAGATCACCTCCTAAGTGAGAGAGGAGGGATTTTTTTTTACCATCGGTTTGTTGAAGGCTGGACTAGGCCACCTCAGACAGAACCCCCAGGCAGCGTAGTCAAGTCCTTGTTAGCAATAAATTAAGGTGAAGTATCGAGCGTGGTGATTGTCAGTTAGCGTGACGCGGGCTTGCTGATACACTGATTACTGTGTACAAGAGACCAAGTCAGGGGGAGGTCTGGGAGTGGCAGACTGGGCAGGAGTGTTTATTTGCTATACACTGCTTGTAGTAACTGATGGAAACTTGGCACCTCACCTGCCAGCCCTCTGGAGGGGAGGAACAGCATTCCCGCAGCAGAATGGATGCAGTGTCTTCGTGAGGGCCGCATGGTGCTCGTGTGACGGAGGTTCTCTTTTGCGAGGCGAGGACGCGACGGGGATGACGTGACTGTCAGACTCTACCCCCGTGGAACGTGGTGTGCGCGGGTCACCGTGCTCTCGTGAGGGAGAGGGAGAGCTGAAACGCCGTGTCGCTGTTTCCCCAGGGGCCAGCTCCTCCGCTGGCAGAGCGTGGGGAACGCGCGCTGCCGCGGCTCGTGGAGGAGGCTGCGCCGGCTGGAGTCCTGTTCCTGTCCCACTGTGCACAGCTTCCTGTTCATCTGAGCCTGCGCTCCACCGCCACGGCGCTAAGACTGCCCACCAGCTCCTTTTTTTGTAAAAGCCAAGAGCTGCCTGTTCTTCCACAGGTTAGCTTTGTGAGTTAATTCCCAAGGCTCCTGGTGCAGTATAAGGCAGACGTTCGTTCCACCAGTGCACTCAAAGACCTGATTAAACCATTCTTTTGGTAAACTGAGAAAATTGAACATTATGCAGGTTTTACAAAGTTTGTGAGTTAAAAAACACATCCAAGCCTGTCTATGATATCATTCCAACATGAGCTGCATTCATGTTAAATGGAGGTTATTAAGTGTTATTAAGTCAGGGAGGGATAGCAATGACAAGTTAATCACACACAGCTGTTCCTAATCACTATCTTTACGGAATTCGCTCTATATATCGAACTCAAATGCCTCCCATTCGACATTTGTCTCCAGCCTCCCTCCTCCACCCCATCTCAACCTTGCGGCTGCCCCTGCTTGAGGTTCAACCCTCCTCATCCTGTGGCCAGGAGGTTGCCCATTAACCAAGCAGGCTAAGCCAAAATGATCTCAACTCGTATTCCAAGCATGCACAAAACCTTGCGGGTTTTGTCCCTAGTGAAGTACCTTTAATAAAACCTTAAGGGTCTCTTTCATATCACTTGGTTTTCAACTTAGTGTACCATTCTTAAACATTCCTACAACAAAATCCATGTGTAATACGTAGTATTTCAATGTTGTATTTTACAATCATTGATCACATTTTTGTCCAAAAATGTGTGTGGAATTAGTATGTTCTCCCTGTCTTTGCATGGGTTTTCTCCTGCTGTTCAAAGACATACTGGTAGGTTAATTGACTTCTGGTGAAGTTGACCCTGGTGTGAGAGAGTGTGTACTGTGATGTATTGGCGTCCTATCCACGGTGTATCCTGCCTTGTGCCTGTTTTGTGTTTAGAATATGAACAGATGAATATGACATGCAGCAGCCTTGCTTTTATACAGATTTTGTGATGCTGCCACTCTCTCAAGAAGACTGATTAGAGTATGAAGAGTAATTGTGGGCTCAGAAATCACAGAACAAAATGTGAATAATTAGGAGGTCAATTTAAACTCCACTCGGATTGCTTCATCTCGTTAAACAATGTGCAATTATGTCAAAACTGGAGTAGTAAATTGCGTAGAAATTGCATGGTTACAAAGTTTCTTGATGTATAGTCCAAGATCGAATTCAACAGAGCCCCATCACTGTCAACAGTCTGAAATCATTCAAAAGCACCAGCTTGCATATCAAACCTTAGTGCATGCCTAGGGATTGAGCAAGATAGTTTAATCACTACTCTCATTTAAGTTAATCTTCTGTGTGATTTTATTGATTTTTTAAGCATGCTTTTGCAGAGATCCATATGCAAATTATATTAGGATTAGTCTGGGTGTAATGTAATTGTTATAATGATATAAAATGATGATTAAATAAAGCCTGAAAGGTAGAATTACTTTAACTAGAACTATATTCCTTGAAGTCTATAGCCTGGCAGGTTTTTTATAGGTGTGTTTAAATGATTCAAATGTGTTATTACACTTGGGGAAAGGAGATTGGCTTGATCAGATGTAAAAGGAAAATGAGAGCACGGGGTGGAATAAAAACTAGGAAAGAATGTGGCTGTTAATGACTTTGGCAGTTGAGGCGCACAGCACTACACAATAGTGAAAAAACGTTCATTAACCAGTCAGGTAGTTTGCTTCATCTCGTGGTCAAAGTAATGTACTACAGCACTGAGAAAATATGCACTTCTCGATTTTTGCCACTAGAGACCGCCACTGGACCTGCGCTTGTAGATTATTCCCGATCTTGAAGAACCTTTAGGCCTTTACTTAGGCCTATGATGTTTTCGTGTGCTTTGTGGTAGATTTAAAAACTGTACAGTTATTGTTCACTTGGACAGTAGGTGAGTATCCATGCTCTGCAACCTGGTTCTTAAGTGCTAAACAGTCTTTTTGCATTTTAAGATTGTGATGAAACCTGAATGCTCACACTTCCTACAATTTTACCCCTGAGTTGCTTTGAATGTTCTTTGGTCTTCATGGTTAAATCTGTGCTTGGAATTCATTACCTGACTGAAATACCTTTCAGAGACAGCTATATTTATTCTGAAATCAGGTGAACCAGTATGATGCAGAAAGACAGAGGCCATTCAAATAATTGTGTGACTATCAAAGTTATTTTCTACACCTGAACTAGGTTTCACCTATTATTGTCATGGCATAGGGAGTACAATAACAATCAACATATTTTAGCTTTTGATTTTTCTTTGCAGTTTTTGCTGACATTGTATTTCTTTCTCTGATAAGTTACGGATTTTGTATGGATTTATGGTATGTTGTTAAGTACTGTAGGTTTTCATTCTTATTTACAGATAAACTAATCTTTGCACCATGTGAGTTCTTCTTACCTAGTTGCCTTCTTAGTTGCTTAGGAAATTGAATTCGTTTATTTATTGCAAGAGATTAACTCTTATTTTTAAGCCTGTTTTGTACTTACAAATTTGTACTTGAATGCACTTTTGATAAATACAGTATAATTTTAGCAAAACAGGCAGTGTAGAGACCAAAAGTACATTTATAATCGATATACTTTATTTAATTTTCAGTCTGACATGGGGAAACATTGCTTTAAAAAATGTGACTTGTGACATTTTAACAAGACAAATACAGGGTTTGAATGTCACACATATTCACAGTTCATAACCACCACATGCAGAGTACGACAGTACTTTGTACAGAAACGATCGGATAAAAAGTCAACAAGTAAAAACTAAGTAATAAAATTTACAAAACAAAGAACCTCAAGACAAACAAACAACGTCATAGAAGGATGGGAATGTGATTTTCCTTTGTTTAAAATTCCCTGGAATATCAGGATGAGTGTGATGAATCTGATGAATTTCAAAATAATGTACATTGAATTGAACCCCTGATTTTACTAAAAGAAAAAAAAACACATAGTTTTTTATTGTGCTTTCTGTTAGAAACGTGAAATTTAGAAACCCATTTTCTGAAAAAAAAAACTAATTCTGCTTGAGTACCTCTTTATTCAAACGAAGCACAACACATTTTTGGATACAGACTTACTGTATAGAAATTGTGCTAAGTAGTAAAAGGTCAACAGAGGAAAGTACAATATTTCAGCCCATTACAAACCCCCTTAAAAACAAACAATGACCAAAAATATATTATGATTAATTCACTGCAGTGACACATTAGTCATAGTTAATAAATAGAAATATTAGTTTTTTCCCTGTGAAAAACTGCAAAGTTTTTTGAAAACTACTTTGATATCATAAAATTGGTCAATATATTATTTCATTTTTTGATGATGCCTCATGTACAACTGTGATCAGCAAAATGTAAAATCAGTCATTACAATCACTGTGGCCTAAAATCATTTAAATATCGAATGTATAATTCAGATTGACTTTTTTCTGCTTCTTAGTTCTTTGTCATACATAATGTAGGTGTATTAATAAACAGAGTATATGTTCAGTAAAGTATGAAATAGATATGTATCCTGTCGAAAGTTATTTCAATGCATGGGTTAGGATGTGCTTGATAGCTCATGTTAAATTTCATTGTGATTTGCATTTGGATTAAAGACTCCCAGATGTGATTGTTATAGAGAGGCGACAATCATACTTGGAGGCGTTTTGCAAGGTCAATAACTTGTTAACAAAATCCAAGCGGGACTTTGTCTTATCCAACATTTTAAACCTACATTTGAAAAATCCTGATTGTTCTGTTTGCATTATCAGAAATAGATTTGGACATTCTCTCTTCAAATCTGCACTGAGCTTTGCTGAATCTCCGCAGGCCGAAAGTACGATTTACTTCTGTACAGCCAGGAAATCTGCAGGGTACTCACAGTTTCACCAGCAAAAAGAAATGCCAGTGATACAATTCACTGTGCTTCCTATCTGGTTAATCAAGTAGAGTACACACTCAATCAAAACCCTGAAAGGTAAGCCAAAAAGAATTAAATAGCTGGGCTTCCCAACTGATTTTTCAGGAACTATAAAAATGTCCAGAGGTTGTATATTTAGAGAGGCTAACAGCCAAAACAGCCTTTACCATAGACAAATTCCAGCTGATCTTTGAACCGACCTATGTAAATATCACTGCAGTAGCAGTGAAGCAAGAGAAACGAGAGCTAGCAGTTCTGAACAGGGTACAAGAGTGGAGACAGAATTCATATTCTCTGCAGACTATTCTGCAGCTTTCGTTGAAAATGGACTAAAGGATGGGGACAGTTCTGTTAGTTACATGTATTGAAATGTTCAACTTGAAAAATGCAAAATTCCCGTGTAGAATGATGTAGCTGGGATGCTGCTGTGATGAATTCTGGGTTGAGTTTTTTAACTTCTGCTTGGCAAACTACACTGGCAACTAGTCTGGTAATAATCCTAAAAGTATTCCAGTAGCTGAAGTGATTTCTACACAAACAGACAGTTCTCTACTCCGGTATGAATACTATGAAGGAGACAGCAAAGCTTGTTTCTCTTGTGTCGATACAAGCGACTGAAGGACATGTGAGGAAAAATAATTTTAATATCTGTATCACGAGGCTCCTGAGGGAAAACTGGAAAGTGCTGAAATTTTTCATCTTACTACAGATACATGTGGCTGTGTCAGGACTGTAAAAAACAGTTTTCTAAATCTTTTTCTAAATCTTTTTCTAAAAACTTTTTCTAAAAGTTTTCTAAAGACAGGAGTAAACACGTCTACACAGCCAATTCTTTAATGTGACTTTTAGCGACATAAAAGAAAATTCTGAAACAAAATGAAATAAATATTGTGACGCACAATGAAAATGCAATCAGTAGTTCAGTAGGCATATAATATTATAAACATTTTAAGGTAAGCAAATATATTTGTAAATTGTTTAAATAGTTTCTTAAATTAAAGTACTAAGCTCAAGCCATGTTATTTCATACAAACAAAAGGTGCTAGGTCTTTGAGATTTGATTTTATTTAAAATTGCCAACATCAGTTGACTATGAATATAATCAGTTGCTGTTACTATTATTATTATTATTATTATTATTATTAATATTATTAAATACTGCTAATCATAATTAGAACAGAGAATGACAGGACCGTGCTCTACTTGAGTATTGAAGATCACCTGGTTTCTATCATTGTGATAGAAGGTGATCTGTCTGTGACAGAAATTGACTAGGGAACAAGATATTCTGCATGAACATTCAGCAGACCAGCTCTGACAACCCAGTAAACCATCTCACTGAGGGACCGGCCACATCCTGCAAGGATTCAGGTAGAGAATCACTGTACGTGCCCAGAACCACCACATCCATCTGATCAAGAATGGTTGTACTGTGGCTCGGCATCAGCGGGGAAGTGTTTTATACAATATGTTGGCCCCCCTGAGTGACTGAATCAGTAGCAAATGGTTGCCTGAGCGTAGGCTGAGCCCTCTGATCCCGGGCTCGAGCTGGGTCATGCCACCGTGAGCGGAATTCTCCAAGTGGTGGCCCACAACTTGTCTGACGTGGTGGTGGCGAGGGACACACCTCTCCTCCAATTGGCCAAACCTCCAAAACCGGACCTCTGCTGCCTGCGATGTGTAAGACGAGGAGTGGCTCAAAGACGGGAGGGTCAGAGGTGTCACCCAATGTTGCCTCATTCTCCCGTGTGCAACTGCGGGGTTCTTAGCAGAGACAGAACAACATATTTTCCTACTCCAAATTGGAGTGGGTGTAACAACAACAACTGGCAATTCTAGATTTAAAAACTAGGTGTCTACTTGGATGTCAGTCTGGGGTGAAGTTGACAGACATAGATGAAATAACTATGGTCTGGAAACAGAAGAACGCCTGAGGTGCCAGTGAACAGTGTTTTATCCACTAAAGACTGCCGAGAGACCTGAAAGAAGACACTCTTTGTGGAGATGCCATGGAGCGCATTATCCTGACAGCTGCATTGCTCAAGACTAGTGGATAAAAGGAATCTGTTTCTCCTGACCAAGGATAAAGTCCAATAGGACATCTCTGCCACCAGCTTGCCGATGGAGTGAACCACAGCTGGCCAACCTACAACTGCCTAGTGCCACACAGGTAGAGCAGAAAGTTTTTGAGCGTGGACATTTTGATTCATAGCTTTAATGAAGGGGAAAAAGTCTTCTGTGTGGTGTGAGAATACTTTTTTTGTTAATTCATCACAAGTTTGCAAAAGGAGCCAAGTATTTTGTGGTAAAAATATTTGTAATGTATCCAAATGAAAAAAAACTACCCACTTTTACTGGACATTTGTACAATTCCAGACTGTTGAGCTATACTGCATTAACACACTGATGCCAGTCATTCTCAGTAATCTTCTCTCCATTGTTTCCTAATGCTGTTGGATAATTTATTGATTTGTTTAATGAACTCATTTCTAAACTGTTAAATCACCCTCAAATAATTTAAGTAATACATTGTCTCCAAATGTTTGTATGGGTCTGTTTTTAAGAACAGAGTTCTTAGGTGGATGGACTGGACGCTGGTCCCACTTGACTCAGCTTGTCTATTGCTTTCTCATTCACAGTTGTTGAAGGCCAACACAATCATCATGAGATGATTAAATTGTCTCTGCATTTGGGTCCAAAGCAAGACCAACAAGCATGAGCTAAGTGAACCAATTATTCCCCTTCCAAAAAAATGTTTGTAGCCATTTTTTAAATGTAATGCTGTACTTGGTAGTGAAAATCTGATAATAATAATATTATCAAAATAATATATCTGTATTGAGACTAATTCAAAAGGTGATGTGGCTGCTACTGCAAACCTATAGAGACACAAGTGTGAGTCAAACTCTTTTGATTTATTTTAGATTTGGGCTCATGCTCTCTGCTTTAAGAATTAGGTTTTGTTGTATTATGGTTGAACTACTGCAATTATTTAGAATAAAAATATGGAGTTAGAGGAAATAGATGATGCTATTGTTTCACAAAGGTGTATTCAGGTAATCCTAATTCAACGCTGTCCTTTGTTTTTGTGTTTTAAGTTGTTTAATGACATTTCGTTAGGTATTCTGTAATGCTGACCTTTCTGAAAATGATATGGTGGAACAAATGAAATAAAAAACAACACAATGGATCCAGCAAAAACAGTCATACAGGCAGCATCAAGAAGCCAGCAAACCATTTTTGGAATAGATGTGATTTTATTGTTCATTCAGTAATTCAATTCATTTGCATCTGAGCAAATCAGTCAAAAAGCATTCCCATCACTCTCTTCTGTTCCTAAACTTGAGTCAAATTCTCCTTACAATACACTAAAAAAATAAACTTCTCTGTAATCTATTATCATATTGGTAGAACGTCATTCTTTGTTGACTGGAACAAGTTCATTCATAAAACCTTATGTGAGAAAATCTGTTCAATATTA